AGTCCGGGCTCTTTGGCTGTGTTCTGTAGGACCAGTGGCTTGTCTGAGCCCTGATCTCCTCAAACATATCAGACAATCAGCAAATATTAGATTCTTCACTTCTTTTTCTGCATTAACTCAAAGAGGCAGAAACTCGCCTTCTGGCATTGTCTCCGGGACCTTGGAGCTGACTGCCGGCCTGAGTGTGAAGCCAGCTGCCGCTTAGCAGTTTAAGGACGTGGGGCAAGTTGTCTGGCACCCCCAAGCCTCTAGGTCCTCTGCAGGAAGAGGGAGCTGATCCTTGCGTGCAAGGTTGCTGAGTGCATGGATTGTAAGGTTCTGAGAACCATGAAGCTTTCACTATGGTTGACCCAAAGGAGGTGGGACCTCTGTGTTAGTTTTCCCCTTTCCACGGAGCATGGCAATTATTCTGTATCTGATTGGGCATCTTTTGGCTGCAAAGTACAGTGAGGGAGGTAGTTTTACTTGGCCAGCCAAACGAACCTTGGTGGGTCTGTGATCTCTGTTAACTGGAAGCAACACCATGTTTAATAAAGGCTCCAGCAGCTTTGTTCCCTCCATACACATTTCCAGCTCCAGGGATATTGCCAATAAAATGCAGACATATTGTGAATTCACTTGACAAGACTCCTGGGCAGATTCCTGGCTCATCGAGTGTATCAGCACTTCTCTTCCCTTCTCCCAGGAGCGTGACTGGATTTCTAACCCCTTCGGCCCCTTGGGCCCAAAACACTTTGAAATGATCAATTCTGTTTGTTTACAATAACAAAACTTTCCTGGCACTTGGGGGTGTACCTAGAAGAGGACGTGGGTAGAGGAGAACACGGTGAAAAAGGAAACAGACTTTTGTATCTGAAAGATTGTGGTTGAAACACAGTACTTCCACTTAGGAGCCATCGGACCACCAGCACAAGATTCCACCTTTGATCATATGTCTCATATGATGGGAATATCTTTGTCTTTCCCAAGGGATGCTTGAGAAGGTAAAATACCAGACATGCTGCCCCAAAATGGAGGTTCCATAAGTTATACTGTTGGAAAGGAAAAATATGTTTTCTCTACCCTCTTAGGTTCATGGACTGGGGCCATGCAAATTGAACTGACAAAAGACATATTAACAGGGGGAAAGATCTATGTCCTATGCATATGGTGGGCCTCCCAGAAATGAAATGAAAAGATCTGGTCAGGCCCTGAGGCTTACCTATCATTTTAACAGAAGGATGATAAATTTGCGGGGATGTAACAAGGAGAGGAAAAGGGTTTTGAGCTCCTAGGGTGCTAAATTGTGGGAAGGTAAAAATAGGAGGAAACAAATGGAAGATAGGAATTATTTTGGTGTAAGATAGTTTTTGTGTGTGCAGGCCCATTTTGGTGTGAATTTCCAGGGAGAGGGGTTTTATGACAGTCCTCATTTTCAGAAGTTTGTGGTCTTGAGGCACTTAGGTGACTGAGTCGGTTAAGTGTCTGCCTTCGGCTCAGGCCATTATCTCAGAGCCCTGGGATTGAGCCCCATGTAGGTTGCCCTGCTCAGAAGGAAGTCTGCTTCTCTGTTTTCTCCCTCTGCTGCTCCCCCTGCTTGTGCTTTCTCATTCTTTCTGTGTCAAATAAATAAATAAAATCTCAGAAAAAAACAAAAAGTTTCTGGTCTTAATCAGATACGAGAGGCTCTGCATCTGCTCATTCTCATTGGCCTTTGGTGGCATCTTTGGGGGCAGCATATTCTGATCTTTGTCAGCACATTATTATTTTTGTCAAATTGTCATATGACTAGCTTTTCTGCCAAAGCCACCGAAGAAAACAATGATTCATGAATAATTATCCAGTAAGAGCCACGGGGAATGCACTGAAATGATAAGTTAGTTTGAGGTTAAATTTTTGGGCATCTGATCCAGTCTTTGTAGGATAGAACTTTGAAGACTGTATTTCTACCGACTGAGGAATCTGATCTGTCCTGCTGCTGGCATGCCAACGTCTTTTAAGTACCACCACTTCTACTGGTTAAACATACACGTGGTGCTTGTTCTGTGCCAGACACTGTTTACTATGTTTTACCAATAACAGATTTTAGTTCTCAGGATAATGTTGGGTAGAAACTGAGGCACAGAGAGGCTCAGTAACTGGCACAGCTAGCAAATGGCAGGGCCAGGAAGCAAACCCAGGAAGTTGGGCTCCAGGGTCATGCTGGTCATGCCCTGCACTCCGCAACTGCTTTTGAGTGAACGAAGGTCAAGTGCCTTAACCCAGACAACATCAGTCAATGGCCAACTCAAGATTAAAATCAAGTGTCTATGACCTAACCCCAGCCCCTCCTTCTGCCCTAGAGGGGCCCACGGTGGCCTAGGCTCCCCAGGGGGCATCCAGAGAGGATTGACCTTCTTAGTTTGGCTTGAAAGGCAAAATCCAGCCAGTTCTGCTTGTGTAAGCCATAGAGTGAACAGAGCCTGCCTGGCCCCATGAACCACTGTATACAGCCTATGTCTCTTTCCATCTTCTCATTGTTCCTTTCTGGGGTCCAATGGGGCTAAAAGCAAAGAGCAGCTTAGATGGGGCACTCAGCAATGTGGAAATGCTTGAACAAGGAGAGAGAGCTGTCTGCAGGCTAGAGGATGTGACACTCACAGTTCTTAGCTCATGTGTTCAGTCAATGAACTCTGTTTAGTGCAGCAGAGACGTCCCCAGACAGTACTCCTGGGTCAGTGTCACATCCAGTCTGTGGTAAAAGCAAGTTATCTTTAGTAAAACTCTCCCACTTTCCAAACTAGGGTAGTTCCAAATATTGTTTGAGATATATTAAAGAAATTATTCATCATTTATCTTAAATTCAAATGTAACTGGGTGTCCTACATTTTCATTTGCTTGATTTGGCAACCCCACCCCAAACACATAGCTGATTGAGCCAATGGCCAAAAATAAAAAACTAGACAGAAGGAAAAATGCATTTTTCTCCAAGAAAAAAAAAATCAATAAAAAATGCATCCTTGAGGTAATAACTGTTAGTGTATTTACTCTTTGTAAATGGAAGACAGCGGTTAACACAGTGAAGCAGGAGTCAAAAAAAGGAAATGTATCCTTTATATAGATACAGATAATTATTTTTCAACTATATATTTGTACCTTTCAAGGCTCTGCTACCACGTGGGGCCCCAGATAGAGATGGGGGAGAGGGAGGGAGAGCAAAAGGAAAGAGAAAAAGATAAGAGAACAAAAAAGGAATTAAGATTCCTAAGTATCTACCCTAGCCCAGAGATTGTGCTAGGGACCATATTTCTTGATCTCATTTAATCTTCATGAAACATCTTCAAGGTGGCTATGACTCTGTCCATTTTACACACAAAGCCCAGAAAGGTGAGGTGATGTTTCCATAGCAGTAGAGGTACAAGGAAAGAATCTTCACAGTTTCCCATGTCACCTGCCCACCACACTGCCATACCCCTTTGCTGGAGAATGTGCTAAGTCCTGGACTCACCAGTTTGTCTGTCTCTCTGTCTCTCTCTCATCCTCATTATAAATCTCTCTGTGGAGAACGTAGCTCAGTTGGCCTTGTGTGTGAATTAGTTGCTCATGTATCTGTCTCCTCTAGGCTATAGATCAGCTTGAGGAAAAGGGCATGTCTGATCTGTCCTTGTGTCACCAGCCAGCACACAATGACTGGAATATGTATTGAGCACCTACTATGTGCCTGACGCTGGGTAAAATGCTTTGGACTCATTAGCATAAATCTTCACAAAGACCCAGTAAACTAGGTTTTTTAGCCCCATTTTGCAGATGAGGAAAGCAGATTCAGAGAGTCAACAGATTTATGAGAATAAGAGGACTCCTAGGAAGCCCTAGTCTCTTGCCCCCTGCTAAAGACTCTCTCTGTCCAGGGTGGCATTTAGAAGAAATGCCATTCTAGTATCTACCTGTAATTCAAAAGCATTTTAAATGTTTACCAGGATGTTTCAAGAAAATTCTGAAGGTGATTCCATCCCGAACGGACAGCAGAACTTCTTCAAATACATTTTGCTAAGAAGATGCTCAGTTCCTGGGACATTTTCCCAATCCCAGGACATTTTCTCTTAACTTTGCTCTTTCTCTCCAAGGTCTATTCCATTGTCTACCAATGACAAATTTCTGCTCTCTTCAGAGCAAGTCTGCACAGTCCGTATGTTAAATGGGCATCACATGAATATTTATACATGCAGATACTGCAATTACTAAGTGGTAACCTCACTTGCATGGGGCAGCATTCTATGTGGTGTCTGGCACACAGAAAGCACTCAATAACTTTTCACCATTATTCTTATTACTCTCAGCTTTGCAGCTTGAACTATCATGCCGGTTCTGTATAGCTAATGCCTGTCACACTGTACTGCAGACAAGGAAGGAAAGTGAATACTCTCATGCATTTGTATATTATTTTCCTATTTATAAGGAGCAGTGATGCTGTATTTAGAGGGTATTTCCCAGCTAAACAGCCAGAAAACCCATGGAAGATACAGTGATGGGTTGTGACTATGCATACATCCTCCTCCCAGATTCTCAAATTTCTGCAGTTATGCAGGATCACAGGAATAATTCTGGTATGGGTTCTTAAAAATGTGAGTATGTCACTTCCTTCCAGAGCATATAAGAGTTGGTTCATAATCTTCCAGCTCTGTCCATTCCACAGCCACAATGAACCAATGACTAAGGAGCCCACAGGGACCACACAGAGAACTACAAGGCAGTGAAGCTCCATTAACCTGGTCCCTGAGTGACTGTGTGGAGCAAAATTCCCCACCAATTTGCAGAAAGGGTTAATATAAACAAGAAACCAACTTCTGTTATTAAATTAAGTCAATGAGATGATGGAGTTAATTTATCTCAACATAACCTAACCTATCTTAACTATCAAAAGCCTTCTACAGATTGTATTTCTAATGACTCAAGGACATTCTGCATTAATGTGCCTAGCAATCCAACCTGTTTCCTCCAAGGGCTTTCTTGCTTGCTTCTAGGTGGGCCAGAGTGTCACAGACATGGCAGGCTTCCTGGTACCCTGTCCTCCAGTGAGGCTATGCGTGGGTCTTACATGTGTCCTGTCCCTTTGGAACACAGGTGGGTCCACTCAGTGTTCAAAAAGTGTCTGTTCCTTATGATGAGTTTGGATTTTCACAAGGCTTCAGAGAATGGCAGCAGCCAATGTCTCAGGCCAGAATCCTAAATGAGTTTGATTAAAATGGGAATGATGAATTCCCCCTTTCTGATTTTGTCCTCTGACTTTTTAAACTTGAGTCCCATTTCTGCAACAGAATTATCCTCACCTCCACTGCTACAACTCTTGTCCAAACCTCTGTCTTCTCTTTTCTGGATCACTAAGAGAGCTTTCAAATCAGCCCCTGCTTCTCCTCTTGCCTCTCCATGACCTATTCTCCCTCATCACCTTGGGTGAGCTTTTCATACATCTCATTAGGTAACCTTCCAGCCTTCTCCTTCATTCCAAACACCCTAAATTATGCAGTGACTTCCTACTTCTCTTTGGACAGTATCCCAAGTCCTTCACGTGCTGTGCAAGACACTGCCCACCTTGCCATCACCAGTTCCTACAGTACCCTGTCTCCTCCATTCTTTGTGCTGTATCACTGTTGGCCTTTGCTCAGTCCTTTAAAATAATTGTGCTCACCTCAGCCCCTGGGCACACACTGTGATATACACTCTGAATCACCCCTCAGCTACTCACATCCTATCCAAATACTGTTCAGGCTCCAGATCTCAGCCACACATCACCTCCCACGGCCATGGAAATGAATCAGGCTTCTTGTTACACACCCTCAAAGCCCTCCAAAGTATTCAACATCATTTGTAGTAATATCCTAGAGTCTTCTTTTCCTTCATGTATGCCTTAGACTGTAAGTTCCATAAGAATGGAATCTGTGCCTACTTGTTCATCATCGCATCCCCAGCACCTAACACACATAATGCTTATTAAAATCCAGCTGCCAAACAACAGTCAATCATTAGTGTTGTTAGAGCTGATCAGTAAATATTCAACGACTAAATTGAATGAACAAACTATGTGTGGGATTGTAAGCAAGACATATCACCACTTCAGATCATAATTTTCTCATCTTTAAAATAAGTATCTTGAATTAAATACTTTCTGATGTCAAATTTGGGTTATAATTCTCTGATGAACAATCTCTTCTTTTAGTGTCTGCTGTTAAAGGAGAAGCCAAGAAGGAAAAGTTCATGACCTTCCTTCCTACAGCAGGTAAAGGGACAGGTGCTCCTGCCCAGCTCATTCTGTCTTGGGCAAACTCCTTGGCTTCTCCTGGTCTCACTTTTTCTGTCTGTAACACGGAGATTGCATCCATAGCCCAAACTCTGTCATAGGAATAGTTCCTGGGAGTTGTTCTTGCTTTATGGTTCATGGCACACCTGGATTCTCATGATCTTATTAAATCCACAAAGATCATGACATTCTATGAACAGTGGAAGATTTCATAATGGGAAGTATTGTCATGTGCCATCATCACCTTAACAATAATTTTATCTTTCTTCATCTTTTCTTTTTTCTTTTTAATGGTATAAAATTGGCTTTACAGCAAGACAGTGAATGCACTGCAACATAAGGAACACATAGGAGGCGGGGCCTGGTTGCTTTTCCTAACTTGGTGAACAAGCAGGATAATGGGGGGGGGCAGGTTGGGGGATTAATTTTTAATTTTTTTTTTTAGTAGAGCTCGTGAGACAGAGTGAGCAGTGGGGAAAGGCAGAGGGAGAGACAGAGAGAGAGAGAGAGAAAAAACTTTAGCAGGCCCCATGAACAGCACAGAGTCCGACTTGAGGGGCTCAATCTCAGAACCCCAAGATCATGACCTGAGCTAAAATCAAGAGTCGGATGCTCAACCAAGTGAGCCACCCAGATGCCCCTAATTTTTATTTATTTTTAACTAGTACACTCATGTGGTTCAAAAGGCAAAAGGTACAAAAGTGTATAAAGTTAAAATGGTCCCCAGCCAACCACTTCCCTTCCCCAGAGGACACCAGTTGTACCAATTTCTTGTGTATAAGCAGTGTAATTTTCTTCTTTTTAAAAAGATTTTATTTATTTATTCATGAGAGAGAGAGAAAGAGAGGCAGAGGGAGAAGTAGGCTCCCCATGGAGCAAGAAGCCCAATGTGACTCAATCCCAGGTCCCCAGGATCACGACCTGAGTGGAAGACAGACACTTAACTGACTGAGCCACTTGGGCACTCCTAAACACATAATTTTCAATAAATATTTCCCCTATTTGAGCCTTCAATTTCCTCCTGTTTATATGGGGGAATAATTTCTGCTCCACAGATAATCATAAAAGATGAAAGATGATTAAAACAGTAAGCATGAAAAAGTATAAAAAGTAGCAACACCCTATCTTAAAGATACTACTATGGTGGTCTTTTTATACAGAAAGAAACCAGTAGTTTTGTATTCTCCATCTGGCAATTTCTTTGAAAATTGCTTCTGTATGACACTCCATTCAGAAATTTCTGCTTCAGGGCTGTTGAGTTCACACTTCAAATATCATTAGCAAAATCCACCCACAGGTTTGCAATTATAAAAAGGACTGGTGGAAATGATGTTTCCTTGATGGAAGGAGCCGTGTTCAATGACAGTTCTTGCTTAGGAAGATTGCACAATGCCTGCCATCCGGGCTTTACAGGTGCAGGAATCCTGCAAGTCTCATAGCCTAGAACAGCAGCCCTGTAGCCTGCAGCTCCTGAGCCCACAGGACCCCAATCCCTCACCTGCAAGGAGGTGCCTCCTTCTTGTCCAAGTCACAGGTGCGGTCAGTGTCTGCCACAAATGTCACTGGGGCTGCGGCATGTAGATTGCTCAGGTGCAGGGCCGCTCACAGCACCAGACGGGAGAGCAGGTTGCATGCCAGCCTTGCACCTGCTTGATCATAAACATTTGTCTCCGAGTTCCTCCTGTTGTAACACAACCCACCTCCTCCAGTAACCATGTGTCGGGAAGGAGAACCATAGCCCCCACCTACCTCTGACCCCAAGCCTCCGTATTTAACCAGGAAGCTTGATACCTGCTGAAAGTCCAAACTGGCTTAAGCAGACAGAAGTTAACTAGATCCAAGTTCCCACAGGCTGCTTGAAAAGCCGGGGAACACCCTAAACATCCATCCACAGAGGAATGGATAAAGAAAATGTGGTATGTACATACAGCAAAATACCATTTGGCCGGAGATAATCGGGACACCTGGGTGGTCCAGGTCATGATCCAAGATCCTGGGATCAAGTCCCGCGCATCAGTGTCCTTGCTCAGCGGGAAGCCTGCTTCTCCCTCTGCTTGCTGTTCCCCCTGCTTGTGCTCTCCTTCTCTTCCTCTGACAAATAAAGAAGTAAACATAAAAGAAAAAATGAAAAGAAAGAAAGATAATCTTGCCATACAGAACAGCGTGGATGGAGCTGGAGGACATGAAGCTAAGTGCAACAAGCCAGCCCCAGAAGGGTGACTACTACACGATGCCACTTCTAGGAAGTATCCACAATAGTCAAACTCTTAGAAGCAGAGAGTAGAAAGCTGGTTACCAGGGACTCCGGGGAGGGGAAACAGGACTACCAACTAGATACGGGATGTAGGTACATCCCTTCTCTTTCCTGGGCCTGAATCTCCACATCCTTCTAAGGGAATGCTGGACAAGGTGACTTGTAAGGTTGTTATAAATTGTGAGGCTGTGATTTCACAACACTATTTCATTCATGAGAACTTTCATCTCAGCATCTGGAAACAGAGATGTTAAAAAGGAAAAAAAGCTGTTGTCCTCACTGTGACAGGTAACTAGGCCAGCCTTCACTCCTGACTTGCTCTGGAACTCTGGAACACATTTTTCAGCTTATCTCTGCCTTGGTTTTTCCATCTGTGCAATGGACACAAAGCACCTGCTCCCCCGGAATGTAACAGGAAACAGAATCATGGCAACAAGAATAGCAACAAATGCAGGATGTTCATAATATGCCCCCCAGTCCAAAACAGCTGAGCTTTCAGGTCACAGCTTTCTGTCCCCTCCACAGGGAAGCCCTCCCCCCACCACCAGATCAGGCCAGGTGCCCTGACAGAGGAGCTCCCGGAATCCCACCACACCCTCGTGTGCAACTACACGTGCCTGTCCCTCCTCCCACCGGAGGCATAGACCCTAAGCCCCACAGAGGGGGAGACTTGCCCCTTTCCTTCAATCTCTTTAGACCCGACACCCAGCATGATTGCTTGGCCCTCCGTGAGTGTTTGTTGAGTGAATAAAGATGAGTGCATGCTTTAGACATTTCAAGATTTCCTCTGGTGTTTTCTTTGAGAGCATGAGCCCCACTGAGTGGGCAGGTGGCTTGATATCTCAGAAAGGACACTGCTCTGCCGCTCTTAGGAAGCAGGTTCAGCGCTCTCTTGTTTAGACAGGTCTTGTCCACTCTGAGTCTCGGTTTCCTGATCTGGGAAAGGGGTGGGGTAGCTTAGATCCCTGCCTGAGTATCGGAACCTGCCTGTTTATTAAAATGTAGACTTCTAGGCTTAAGATCAGTCCAAGGAGACTAGAGTGTCAGGAGAAGAGGCTGCCTTTTCATAGGGCCAGTGACTCTGACCTTCACTGAGCCCAAGGCTGCCGCATAGAGGCCCCCAAGGTTTCTCCTCAACTTGAGCCGGAGGTTGCAGGCTCCCATGCCTCCCATGAAGCCTTTTCTCTCCGTAGCATCTGGACTTGGAGAAGAGAGGAAGGAAAAAGGGGTGGCTTTTCTCGATACCACAGGTGAGTCCCCTCCTCCCTCAGGGCTCTGTGGGTGGCCCCAACTGCCAAGGGAGTTCCCCCACTTCTCCAGACCCCCACTCACAGTCCCCACACCCTGGTACAGCATGTCCCCAGTCTTCATATTGTGTGATCCACACAAGTCTCTGCACATTAAGTAAACATTGAAAACAACCATGTAAGTAAAAATACAAAGAGGAGCATTAACCACTATTTCCACCTTCTCAACTGCTCTACGGGATCTTCTGGGAATTGCTAGGAGATGGACAGATTTTAACCTAACAGTGTCTCTCCACTCAGCTGCCCACTACAGATGTCTGGGAGACTGATCAATCGGTTGATCGATTTTGGTGGAGATGTCTGGGCCACATCCCAGACCTATTCAACCTGAATCTCTGAGTGCCCAAGTATCAGAACTGCAGAATAAAGAAAAAAAAAAAATCTCCCAGGGATGTTGGTGCCCAGTCAGGGCATTTTCTTTTAGATAATGTCATCATTTCCAAATACAGTGCTATTGAGAATATTGAGAACTCGTGCCATTTCCTTGACCTTCCCATTACATGAGAGCATTTCCCACCCATCCTGAATGCCTCCAAAGGCAGAGACAAATTATTCACAAAGTAAGTGTCCCTGTCTTTCATGTGGACATATCTTATCTTAACTTGTCATGATGTATGCCACTGGCTGTCACCTCCTGAACGCAGGCAGTGACCTTCATCTTTGAACTCCTTGTGCCCAGCTACGGATATGAGTTCAGTAAATGTCCAAAGAGGAGGCACGTCTGTCTGAGTGTCAGAAACGGGAAACTTCTGTTGTGAGAAAAGCCTGCCAGTGACATTTTCTGCGAATCTCTTCCAGAGCTGCCTGCAAGGTCGGTCGATCTGTCCGCCCTGAACCTGACAGAGCTGGTGAACGGAATGCTGAATAGAGCTTTAAAAGGTAACTTTTTTTTTTTTAATTTAAATTCAATTGGCCAACTTACAGTACATCATTAATTTCAGGTGTAGTGTTCAATAAACTATCAGTTGCCTATAACACCCAGTGCTCACCCGCCTTAATGCCTGTCACCCAGTTACCCCACCCCCCACCCAACTCCCCTCCAGCAACCCTCAGTTTCTAAAAAGCACAATCCAAACCCACTTCCTCCTTGTACCCACTTCACTTCTGCAACGCAGTCAAGACAGGTCAGGTCTCTGCACCCCAGCTTCTCGGTGCTCAGATGGAGAATGCAGTGTCCTACCTGACACCTGATGAGACTGAAAACATACAAATGAAGCTGGGGGCTTGGCAGCATCTGGAGAGCAAGCTGCATTCCAGATGTGGCCAGTGTGCAGGCATTTCTGATCACAAGTACATTGTGGGAGAATTGTCAGGGCTTAGGGATTGATCAGGAAATAGAGTCAAGTGACACATACTTCTGTCATTTTCGGTTGCTTTTATGTGATTTTTGTGTATTATTTTCAATGTTTGGTATTTTATTATTTATTTTGTTATTTACTTTTATTATTTGTTCATCGTATTTTTTTTAAAGATTTTATTTATTTATTTGATAGAGATCACAAGTAGGCAGAGAGGCAGGCAGAGAGAGAGGGGGGGAAGCAGGCTCCCTGCTGAGCAGAGAGCCCAACACGGGGATCGATCCCAGGACCTTGGGATCATGACCTGAGCCAAAGGCAGAGGCTTTAACCCACTGAGCTACTCAGGCGCCCTGTTCATTTTATTTTTAATTTCTATTATCTGTTTACTAATTGATGGTATTATGATTGTCAGGAGGCGCCTGTCTGATGGCTTCTTTTATCTCAATATCTGTGGCAGATACCAAGAAGTTCTTCTCCTTGCTAAGCATCACTTCATATAGCTCCTTTGCCTTCCACAAGTTTTCTGTGGCCGTTTACAACAGTAAGTGCTGCTGGACTCTTCTTGGTGGCCGTGATGGTGAGCAATGGCCCTGCAGGGCCAGGCTCCTTGTCAGGACTGCCCTATGGATCCTGTCTCTTCACAGTTTCCAACCTGAAGACTGTGGACCCCACCAAATTCCCCACCCAGTACTGCTACTGTGTGAACAACAGGACCAATGACTTAACAGGTGGGTGGCGCTACCCGCCAGGCTTGTGGCTTTCCTGATTTTGCCTGTCCCCTTTCAGATGAGTTTGACTTAATTTTTTTCTCCTTAGAGTGAAATAAGAAAAGACAGTGGTATCTATTGTGCTTAGCTATGTACCCATCCGCTGTCCAGAAAGTTCTTTTCTTGGTTTTTATCCTAGAGAAATTGTTATGTCTGAACAAAGGGGCAAGAACAAACTGTTCATGCAACATTGTTTTAACAGAAAACTCTGAGAACCACCTAAATACCCACCATTAGGAAAATGGTTAAGTAGTCTATACTTGGGTAAATAGACATAGGCCATGCATAAATGAATGGGTGAGGCTAGATTTGGCTTACATCTGGAAACATTTCCATGCCATTTTTAATTAAAAAAAAAAAACAGAGTTACAAAATAACGTGTTGAATATACTGTCGTTTGTAAAGAGATACGTATGTGGGCACCAGGTAGGTGTTCACCCATGAAAGATCAGGATGCATGTTTTGCGGTGGACGAGGGCATCCCTCAGATCCTTCAATGCTAGGATACTCCTGTATTACTTTTACAGTTGAAAGTTAAAATTATTTGATGTTCCTTCTATTTAGAGAATCCCAAAAAGTAAAACTGAAAGTTAATATTTCACCACGAATCCACCCATTCAATGGTTCTTTACTGAGCACATAATATTAGCCATACTCTCCTCTAGATGTGGGGGTACCACACTGGGCAAAAAGGACACATGCAGTCCGGTCTCATGGACTAGGGTCTATAGGAAGGGACAGAGAATCAATGAATACACCAATAATACATGGTATGTTGGCTACTAACATGACCATGAGAACAATAAAGCAGGGTAAAGGATGAGGAGGGAAGTGGTGGTGGACATGGCTGCTGTGTGTAGGATGGTCAGGGAAGTCTTTGCTAATGAGACAGGAAGTGGAGAAACAGCCCTGTGGTACCCAGGGCCAGAGTGTTTCAGACAAAAACCCAGGCAGCAGGGTAAGGATGAGAGAGGCCGGCATGGCTGGAGCAGGTGGGCCAGGGCTGATGGTCATAGGAAATGAGCTCAGAGTTGTGGGGGCAAATCAGGGAAGGTTCTGAGGATCAAGTAAATGTTTATAGTCCACGGCAAGGATTTTGATTTTCACTCTGAATAAGAAGGAAGCCAAAGTGATTATGCACACAGAGAAGTGGTATGATCTAACTTATATTTTAAAAGGATCTCTTTGACTTTTCATTTAAAAACAAATAGATTGTAAGAGAGTAAGGAGTGAAGGTAGAAAAACCTCCTGGTCTTTTTCTCACTTGACCCAACCTTAAAAATATTTTCTAGGATATTACAAACTCTGCAAACATTTGTAATGACTACATAACCTGGAAACATCAGCATTTTCTTAGCCATATGCTGTTGACTTTTGGGTGGATTCTAGGTTTTTCTTAACATAAAAATTCCTGTATTGGACATCTTGGTGCCTAAAACTTTTCCCGTTTTCAGATTACTTTCAAAGGATAGATTTTTTGAAGTGGAATTTCTGGAAAAAATATTGTGAACATTTTAAAGAGAGTACTTTGTAATGTTTAATGAGTACTGTATGCCAGGCCCCGCAGCAAGTACCTTACAGCCATTACCTTTTTTAGCTGGTCCTTCAAATCTTATCAACAATTACACACGGGCAAACAAATGTCCATAACCACAGCTTCCTCATCCTCTCATTAGTCCCTGCTGGGGGCCCAGTTTAGAATGGGCACTGAGTCCCTGCCCTGAGTGCATAAAAGATAAAAAGAAAATGTAAAAAGTGGAGTTGCCTCTGTAGGGAAAGAGTTTCTAACTCCCCTCGGTGAGCTAAAGCATATTTCCAAACACTTGAAATGGTTATTTGAAAATAATTGATCCATTGATCATTACCACTGATAAAATAGTGTGCTGCTCCTTCTGTAAGCCACGACAATTTTTTTTTTTGTGACACATCACAATGTGCTGGTGTCTACTCGCCTCAGATTACTACTATGAGAGGCTGTATGCAGGCTAGCATCTTACCATTGCTCAGTCTCTGGGAGAAGATATATTTGTGGATACTCTTCAGACCTGGATCATTTTCACTTGAATAGTCTCAACTCTGACTTAAAGCCCCCCTGTGAGGGTGAACTTGTGGATTTTTAGTTTTTCTATATGAAAGTAACTTAAATTTTCTTGATTTTAAAAAAAATAATGTATTATGATGTCAAAATGCCATACAATGGGGACAATATAATAAAAAAAATCAGAAATACCTAAAATCCCAACATCCATAGGTAATCACATTACCCAAGGTGGTGTAAACCACCTCTCTGATCTACCTACCTAAGCCATCTGTCAACTAGTCATCTAACCTACTTGTCTACTATCCCACCTGCCCCATTCATCTGCCCATCTATCTACCCATCCTACTCTGTATTCCCTATATAATTTAGAATATAAGCCAGGCTATTATGACATAGGACCCCAAAATAATTTGTCTGATGGAGGGTAGAAGGTAAAAGTTTTTGTGTGTGACCATCTGGATAAACCTACCAGGGCTGCTCTGTTTGATGGTTAAGTGGCCCAGGCTCCTTCTAGTTTGTTGCTCTGCCTCCCATGATGCTTTGCCCTTGTTCTCATAGTCCATAATGGCTTGCCCCCACATCTGCATTCCAGCCACAAAAAAGAGGAGAAAGGAATTGATGACATTCCCGCTCACTATATAAACACACACTTTGGAAACCTTCCACATGGCTTCTTCTCATGCTCTATCACCTAGAGTTTAGTCATATGGCTTCACCCACCTGCAAATACACTCAAAAATGTAGTTTTGTGTTAAGCCATCATATGCCCAACTGAAATTTCATGTTCTCTCACTAAAAGATGGGAGATGGATATTGAGAGACAACCAGCCATATCTGCCACATTTTCCATGCAGCTTTATAATCCATCTTTAATCAGTGCATCTTAAAAGCCATTCTATTCCAATGAATATAAATATGTCTCATCCTTCATATGAATTCATAGTATTGTTGAAAGAATGTACTATAATGTATTTAATTTGTCTCTTCTTGATGGAAATTTAGTTTATCCCCAGTGTTGTTATAATTATAAGCAATGCTATGATGAATACCTGTGTACTTGGAGTACTTGGAGTACCTGCCTAATTATGCTGTAGGATACAGTCCTTGAAGCAGAATTGCTGTCTGACAGGGAAATAATTTTGTAGTGATTCAAATTACTAAAATTTCCTCTAAGATATCTCCCATAAGTTTACACTTCTACTAATATTGTTTGAGAGCACGTTTTCCACACCTTTGGCAGCACAAAGTACTAAGACACATTCTTCAATTATTACCAATTGGATAGGCAAAAAAACTTTTCCCCCTATTTTCTATGCATATATAAAAGTAGTCAGAAATCACTCATCAATTGCTAATATTGCTAATAAATTATATAATTCAAATTTTCATCAAAACAAAAATGTCTCTGAGGTAATGATAGCTTGTTTACTTCCAAGCTCTATAGACAGATTGTAAAAGCCATTCTGAAGGGAGAGTTCATACTGAGTGTTGAGTAAGACATTGCTTGAGCAGCAGTGGGAACATTAGGAAAAGTGGGAGCTTTGGCCCAACATAGACCTCAGTTCAAATTCAAGCTCCACCACATCCTCTGGGACCCTGGGAAAATTCCATCATCTCTCTGAAACTTGGGCACAACCCAGACTCCATTTTGGTGCCCTGCCTCCAGTGCCATGGTCTTGGCTTCTGTACAATATTGGTAGCAGATTACAGTTTACTTGTCTGCTTATGAGCTTCCCTGCCTCCCACCAATCTCAGCTTCTGGCAGGCAGCAATGGTGTCTCACGCAATCCTCCAGTACTGAGCAGGTGTCTGGTGCCCTGCAAACACTCAATGAATATTTATTAGATAAATGAATTAATGAACAAAAAATACATCTGATAAGTAGGAAGAAATAATGAAATACTATCCTTCCTCAGTTTCCACAATGTGACCAAGGACAGACTAGAAAGGAGGACAACCAAGTTGGCATCCCTTTTGCATGGTTAGGTAGCCACACCTGCATGGTGTTCTACCACGCCTCCTCTCCCAGAGATCGACCATGTATCTATGCAGGTGTGATAAGATCACACCATGGCTCTGGTTCCATAGACAAGTGTCCATCTTTTGTTGGTCTCCTGTGCTGCATGTTTCATCAGTTGCCATACATGGACCCTCTCTGGGCCCTGCATTTTCAGTCCTTTGTGTTCTATATTTTCAAATCAGCTTGCCCCCAACCCGAGCTCATAGTCCCATTGAGTAAAAGAAGTGGTTTCACAAAGCACGACAGGAAATTATCCAGATGACACCAGAAGCTTCTTCCTTAATTCTTTGGGGCTACTAGAATTCACATCCTTGTTCTGGAAGCCAAAAACACGTTGGATCCTGGAAAACCATAAATGAACACCGGACAAGGTAGCAGCTGTTTGCCTGGAGCTACACTGGGAAATTTCATTGGTCGATGGCTCCCACCATGCCAAGCAATGGCTCATATTCAAACCCCTTTCAGAGAGAAAGTTCACAGAGATTTGATAGCCTGAATGTGAAATTCTCCCAGTCTCCTCCCATCAGCCTTCTTAACAAGGGGGACAAGAACAGGGGTTTCTGGTTCTGTTTTGCGTAGGGTTATAGTCTCTTGGTAACCCACCACTAACATTGACATTACAGTTTGAAAATCCAAAACTATGTAAATGCATGTTGTGTAACTGTTAGGTGGCTTCCTGTCAGGTGGACTTGGTATTCTAAAGCAATTGGAGGAGATAACAGGGGACAACAAACGAGAAAAACCATTATTCAGTAATATGGCTTTTCACAGCCATTTGGTGTTGGCATAGAGTGATTTGGAGGGAAAGGGAAATGGGAGGAAGGGGATTATGACTGTGGATCCAGAAGTTTTCTCCCTGTCTGGAAATAAGACATCTTTATAATTAGTAATATTTCTCTATATGATTGCTAACATTCCTCAACACACTGAACAAAATCAAACTTATAAAATCTACTCTGAAAAGTCCAAATACACTATGCTTTTCCCCTCAAGTCTCTGGATCAGAAATTTAAATCTCCTCAATCCTTCTTGCAGATTTCACGGCCCTACTGGTGGATGTCATTGGAAATTCTACCAGCTACCTCACAGAGATTTTTAAGTCAACTTCCATCCTCTCCGGTGTGTTCATCTTGAAAATGTCTGGGTTATTGGAGATTTGGCAGATTTGCAAAATTTAATCAAAATCAAAATATTTTCAAAATGTAATCAAAATATAATCAAAGCTAGTGGACCACCTACCCCAAGCCCTGCCACAAAGTGGGCTGCCAGGAACCTCCATGTAAGCTTTATTTAGACAACCAGTGTGGTACAGTTTCAACCACTAGTATTTGAAGGCTCCATCTTCCAGTCAGAGCTATTACTGGTATCTAAGAAGTTAGAGGAAGAATTCAAGGTTCAGAGTTACCGTAATCTAGACAGACTCAAGTAAACAGCTTCTACTAGATAGCTATACTCACATTTTAAAGATGAGAAACTGAGATTTGGAGAGGTTGACTATTTTGCTCAAGGCCAGATCAGAATTTAGCGCTAGATCTATATGCAGCCCAAGCCCATGTCCGATGTGCAGTTGGGAAAGATCTGCCTCATTCACAAGGTGCCTTCATATAACTCCCAAGCCGGTCACCTTCCCCAAGAGACCCACTTTGCAAAGCGCAGATCTAGTCAATTGCCCACACATGGCCTCATCAGAAAGATGGAGGGCTGCACAATGGAGCAACTACTGTGTTAGAAACAGTGAAAGGAGAGAGAAAGAGTAGTAGATCTCATCAGCTGCAAGGACTCTTCCAGAGGCTGTCCGTGTACTCCCTCACTGGACTCTCACTACCACCTTGTGGAGTGATTACATATTTATCCCGATGTTACAGGTGGGGAAACCATGGCACAGAGAGGTCAAGTAACTTGCCTAAGCTTATCCTGAAGAAATGCAATTCGAACCCAGGTGATCTGGCTCTAAAGTCCATGCTCTTGCTCACTATGCTAATATATATAATAACAGGCCCACATTCACAGTGATAATTATCATTATTATGACCATTTACTGAGCTCTTCTATTTGCCAGGCACCATACACATTATCTCACTGGGTCATCATAGCTATCCTTTGAAGGACGTACAAGCAAATGTCCACATTACTTTGCGCAGCATCTTTTTTAAAAATTTTTTTGAGAGAGAGTGTGGTACAAGCAGAGGGGGAGAAACAGAGGGAGAGGGAAAGAAAGAATCTCAAGTAGGCTCCATGTTCAGTGTAGAGCCATATGCGGAGCTCAATCTCATGACCCTGAGATCGTGACCTGAGCCAAAACCAAGAGTCAGATGCTTAACAAACTGAGCCACCCAGGTGCCCTGCTTTGGGCAGCATCTTAAGGGACAAGTACATGTAGTAATTCATTCACTTTCAGACTTTGGCAGGTCTCACAGGGCATCTATACCACAGATGATGGAACATCGCCATCAATGGCAGCATGCCGTAATCAAACACGTTCATTCATTTAGCAACATGGCCCTTTACACTAAACAGTTCTGATAAAGACTGTAAATAGCCTCACATCTGTCAAGTCAGGTTTCCCACCAAATAAGTTTTGGTACCAGACTCACACAAAACCTTCCATCTTACAGTGATTTCAGAATTTGGAAATCTCAAATGAGGGACTGTGGAATTTGAATGGTCACCATTTTATAGATGGGTAAACTGAGTCCAGAGACATCAAGGAGTTCGCTCATGGCCACATAGCTAGTAAATGGCAGAGTTGATGTTGTAACACTAGAAGCTGACCCCACAGGCTGTGCCTTTTGCCATTACATTATACTGTATCCCCCCCCCCAAAAAAAAACAAACCCAGAAAATCAGGGCTCTCTTAAAAGTAAGGAGTTAGCCTTAAATTTCTCTATAACATCCTGAGCTAAGGATTTCTAGCTGAATTTTCATTTCAGCCAAAGACCTATAGCTTCAGACCCATTGCTAAGTCTTGTGTACTGGTTTGTCTTATAGTGAGTCAAACAAACGAATCGGACTGCATCTTCATCTGTGTGATGACAGGAAAGTCAGGTGAACCATCAGACAAGCTCTTGGAGCTGAGAATTAAACAGAACCCTCCAGCAGGTGAACCCAAGATTCGATCCTGTTGGTGTGGTTTTTGTAGGAAGGGATCTTTCTGACTTCTGGGAGATGGCAGAGAAATCTCCTGTTATCAACTACACATTCACCAGTAGCATGTCTGGTGTTCTAGGTGAGTGGAAACCCCCACACTCCTACTATAGTCTCCAAACCAGGGTCCCAGCTAGCAAACTGAAGACCGAATGCTGCCCTCAGGTATTTTATTTAGCCACACTGTGCTAAATCCAAAGGATTTCACCATTAAAATTAATCTCTGGATTCTCTTACAAGAGAAGATCTGGTGACTCAACAGGAGTTGAGTAGGCCTTGCTCCCATCCCACCCATTAGGAGAGACTCCTTCCTCTTTTCCTCTCTGCTCCCTATTGCCTGACAGTTGTTTCTCATATTAACCACCTGGTTTTTGTAGGTAATTGAATTAGTGACCCTGTTTTAGGCATTGCCACTCTACAATACCCAGCACCTACCCAACCATCCTCTACCTCTCTGCACACACTCCCACCCATCTGCTTGCCTTTTCCCTGGCACAAGTGGTATTTTTGGAACCCCTTTGAGCTCGCTTTTGCCCCCTACACTTAACTGTCACTTTAAGCTGAACAAAGTTTCTGGAATCTGGCTGGTCCTCCAAGATTATTTGCTGCTGCTGTGATTACTTTAGTAATCTACCAGTCCTTGTCATCTACCTTTGACCTGAGGTAGCCTCTGAACTAGTCTTCCTTGACCCAGTTTCATATTTCTTTAAAATGTCAATCCATTGCCACAAGAGCAATAGTCTTTAAAATACAATTGGGTTTGTCTTCTCACTACTCAGAGTTAAGTCAGGAACAGAGGGTCCAAAGCCCTTAGCCTGGAGTATACATTGCTCTGTCAACATGCCTAGCCTCATCTGCTCTCTTTTTCCTTGAATCTTCTGCTAAAATGACATTGAAGCTCCTGTCTCTTCTTGCAGATGGCATCTCTCTGCATGCCTGTGCCACTTCACTCGGCCTGGAACTCCTTCCCTATTTTTCCATATTTCAGAGCCCCAGTTTGTCTGTCAATCACCAGCTCAGAGGCTGCCTCCTCTTTCCTAAAAATCTCCCAGTCAAAATTTGTCTTTTGTTGTCTACGACTCTATAACACGACACTAGTCCATCATTCGGACTTGGTGTTACTCCAGGTTGGAACACAGGTGACCTTCCATGTGTGTTGCCTCACTGAATGATCCTTGAAGGCAGACATCCAAACTCCTTCAGCCCCCCAATCTGCTTCCCCTGGGTGTCTGCATGGGACTCTGTGTGTAGTAGGTTCTTAATTAGTGTTTCTTGGAGTAAAGTGAACTTCACAATAAATCTCCAGTTCCACTTCAGTGGGCTGCCTTGATTTTAGTTTGTTGGAATTACATTTATTTATCTTAATTTACCCGAGGAAGGAACCTCAACTTGCATGGAATGAGGCTGCTTGATGTGGAGATGAAATGGGCATTTGGTGGGTTCCCTTTACCTACTCGATTCTGAGGACAGAGCCGAGGATTGAGTCAATGTCATTTCTTTAGTCTTCCCGTGACCTTCCCAGAACAGTCCCAATTGTACCTCCCCTTGATGCTCCTTTATGAAGGACAAATGCCTGGGAAGAGAGAACACATGACAAATGGACACGTATTTGTCGGGTGGGTGTGCTTGATAGCTGGTCACTTGGCTGAGTGATGGTTTGATTGGGAGGGACTTAGCCCTATGTCCAGTTGATTTGGAAACAAGTACCAGACCTCTCGGGCGTGTGGGGACTACTGATCCCATAAGTGAAGCAGGAGAGAAGAGATGAGGCAACAGGACACGACTTGTACGGGATGTGCCCTGCACAGTGATCCACCAAAGGGGTAAGTAGGGCCTGGAATCCACTGGTCTACAGGCCAGCCCCGGTCAACCCAGAAGAAGGGACCCATGGGCTCATGGGAGCCTGTCTTCCTAACATGCATCTGTCACCACTAAAGGCTGCCCAAAGGAAGCTAGAAGCTCAAATGAACACTTGAGCCTCTTCCTCCCTGTCTTCATGGAACGTCCAAGGGCACCGGCTAGATCTCCCTCCAAATTGAGCCTTCCTGTTATCTTGGCTGTGACCTACCTGTCTTTCAGACAGCTTCTGCCCAGCAGCTTCTGATGACCCTAAATTCCGCTTCTGGTCTCTAGTCACATGCACAGGGCACATGGAGCCACCCTGTCCCTCTTCTAGGAAAAAGTGCCATCAAGGGGCTGAGGGCTGTGAGGCGGGCGAAGGGCCTGGATGGATTCAGGTTCTGTCAGGAAACATGTCAAATGCATGATACTTTGCTGTCTGACAGCTTTGCATTCTGTTCACAGAGCTTCCCCGCATAGTGTTTTTGGAAATTGGTATTTTAGCTTCCTTTGCCGTTCCAAAAGAATCACTCCTCTTTGGTGACATATGGTATTGTTCCAAGTAAGGTTTAAATTTCTGTGTTCAGTACGTTTGCTGTCCAATAATCTTTCAGTGGCTTGACAAGTCTGTGCTCCAAGTGTCAAGCATATAAAATCTGCCTTTGACCATCTCCCTGAATGTACAGCTCCCAGGGGCACGGCTGTGACTTCAAAACTCATACCCATGAGCCAGCAGACACCACCGAGGACAAGCCCCCTGCACAGAGCCCAGAGCACCAGGGCACCTGCTCCAGGGACCTTTCCCTGGACAGAGACAACCCCTCCTGCAGAGGGAGAGCCAGCCATGAGCACGATCAGGCTTTCCAAGCTCCACGCCAGGGCCACAGCCATGGCCACGCAGGGTGGTCCCTCTCCCACCCTCCCAGCATTGGGTAAGAAGATGACTCGCCCTCTCCCTTCCTGTCCTGCTTCTCCCTCACATAAATAAGTGAAGCCCTTCCTTTATCCTTTTTCCATCGACCCTTTCTTCTTCAGCATCCCTGAAATTAGAGATTGACCTGAGCCAGTGTGAGTTTGATACAGACAAGCAAAGGCAGTGAGCATCTTTGGCATAAGATCCTGCCAACATTTATTTGTATGATTTTTTTTTATTTTGAAATAGTTTAAGACTCACAAGACATGATAAAAATAGTACAGAGAGCTCCCTGATCCCCTTCACCCAGAATCCCCCAATAAGAATGTCTTAGATAAGTGAAGTGTATTGTACCATGATGTATTTTTGTTTCAGCAAAGCATTTAGCAATGTCTCTCCTGAAATGAACCCTGTGTGGTAGAATGGTGGTGGGTATTAAGGAGGGCACATATTGCATGGAGCACTGGTTGTGGTGCATGAACAAGGAATCTTGGAACACTGAAAAAATAAAATTAAATTAAAAAACATTTTATGATAGAGTTAGGTGAATTTGTAGCTGGCCAGATAATGATGCCAAGAGTATGTTAATGACTTGAAGCTAGCACGGAGAGCCGCCACACGTGGCGGGCCAGCCAGCGAGTTCCTCCTTCCCCACCATCTTTGTGGGCACCATCATTGATGTTGTCATAGAAGATGAAAAGACATACTCATGCTATTTGGAAATAAGATACAACGGAGATAGCGCTTTTATTAAAAGCCAATACTGTCTCAATGAGTTCCGACAAGGGACCAGAGTCATAGAATTCATTCATTCAATCATTCACTCATCGAGACATGAATTTAATACCAGACTCCAGGCTAGCTGCTAAAAGCACAGCTCTATCAATGTTCCCTTTCATTCCTGAGTGCACAGACCGGGGAGGGAGACACGAGCAAGTAAATTGATAGTTAGAGTCTAGCCTACAAAGAGCTGTTGTCCTGGAGAGCCCAGCAGGGGGCTTCCTGGAGGAGGTGAGAACTCATGGGAGTCCGGCAGGCAGGAAGACAAGAATGTGGAAAAACAATCAATGCCACTAACCAGAAACCCCTCAGTACACTCCAGTATCATGACTGTTCTGCATAATTAGAAAGTTTCCCAGAATAATATGAAAAAAAAAACCCAAAAGATATGATTGCTAGTGGCAAGAAAAATCATAGAATACTTAGCTATATGCCTAGCAGGAAAATTGTTGGGTTTTATATATGAAAAACTATAAAACTTTAGGGAGAGTAATAAGGCATATTTAAATAAATAAAGCGATATACCACATTCTGGAGGAGAAACTTGAAAGATTTTATTTATTTATTTGACAGAGAGAGAGAGAGAACACAAGTAGGCAGAGAGACAGGCAGAGAGGGGGAAGCAGGCTCCCTGCTGAGCAGAGAGCCCTATGTGGGGCTCAATTCCAGGACCCTGAGATTATGACCTGAGCCCAAGGCAGAGGCTTAATCCAGTGAACCACCCAGGCGTCCCGAGGAGCTTGAATATTTTAAAGATGGCAATCATTCCTAACTTAATATATAGATTTAAAATTTTCCAAGGGGGTTAGTTTTAAAAACCTGAAAAAAATTATTTTCATAATTTTCATACTATAGAAATGAATGAGAGAACCTATAGAATTGTTTAAAAGAGCAGCCAGGGAAGATTGGCCTTCGTCCCAATCCTGTGATATTGTATTATTGTTGTTAGCATTATGATCATCCCCATTTTAAGGGGAAAGCTAAAAAAAAAAAAGTGAAGCCACTTGCCCCTAAAATCACAACATGGGGGAGGCAGGAACAGTTTCCCCTCTGGTCTCTTCACCTCAAACCCTGTAACAATTTCACTGGGTCATTTGATGAGAAACGTGCTCTGAACTTTGAGAGAGCTTGCTGTTGGATGTCTAAGGAATTTGGAGGTTTCTTTTTTAAAATAAGTAGTTAGGAAAATAAAGTTTACTTTGGCCCATTTATTCTAGCTCAAGGTAGAGCTTAGGTCCCTGAATTACCTGTTTTATATATGCACAAAGCATTTGCCCTTTGATAACATTTCATTGTTTTGGTAATTTTATACCTGAATCAAAAGGGTCAAGAATGTAAGTGCTCTGTTACTGTCCCATGTGCAGCTACCAGGAGGGTGGCCAGGACCCCATGGGTGACAAGCAGCAGTCAGGCGTGGACTCCCACACTACCCATGCCCTGGGCACCTGCAGGGCCTCCCTGGGAAACACTGTCCTCCACACCGTCATCTCCTGCAGAGGCCATGGCCACAAGGAGCTTGCCCAGGCCTCCAGCTAGGACATCGGCCACCCACGGTAGCCCCTCCCAGGCCCACTCAACCTCAGGTAAGAGAGGATGCTCACTCCCACCTCCCCCATTTGTAAACTCAATTTAGACCTGTCTGTCTTTAAAACATTTTCTAAATTTTTGAAGTACAACGCACAGAAAAGTTGTAAAACCTAAGTTAGCATCATAATTAATAATCATAAAGTGAACTCGCTCTTCCTTTTCTTTACTCCAACCCTTTTCTTTCTACCTTGAATGAATGAAGGAAGGAAGGAAGGAAAACTCCCTCTTTGCAGGAATCTTCCACACCCTTTCTCTGCTACGTGCCCTCTTTTATGCGCCCATTTAGAAATTTCCGATTTCTTTTTTTAATATATTTTTTAAAGATCTTACTTACTTATTAGAGAGAGAGACAGAGAGAGCACAGGCAAGTGGAGGGGAGAGGGAGAAGCAGACTCCCCACTGAGTAGGCAGCCTGATGAGGGACTCGATCCCAAGGCCCTGGGATCAGGACCTAAGCTGAAGGCAGATGCTTAACTGACTGAGCCACCCTGGCACCTTAGAAATTTCCAATTTCTTGGGGGCACCTGGGTGGCTCAGTGGGTTAAGCCTCTGCCTTCGGCTCAGGTCATGATCTCAGGGCCCTGGGATCCAGCCCCGCATCAGGATCTCTGCTCAGCGGGAAGCCTGCTTCCCCCTCTCTCTCTGCCTGCCTCTCTGCTTACTTGTGATCTATCTCTCTGTCAAATAAATAAATAAATATTAAAAAAAAAAAGAAATTTCCAATTTCTTCTTTTCCCTTTTTCACTCGCCATCAAACAAGTGACCACTAGGAGCCAATACTGTTCTCTCCAGACTGCCTTTTTGGCATAGTATTAGTATGTATTAATATTATTACATTAATTGCATATACATGGTGTATATACAATGTATTGTAGCATACCTGTTAATTACACACACAAATATAATGATATGTACATTAATATGTAATCATGTACTATAAGGAAAGCCTGAGTTATAAAAAGCAAGAAAAAAGTTTTCAAATGTGATCTCAAGTCTTTGTATCTATGTGTATTTACTTGTGTGTAATAAATATACGCAGAAAATAGAAAGTAAAACAAAATAAGACTAAAAAGAAGTTCACAACATATTAACCTTGACTATATCTGGGAAGTAGATAAGATTTTTACTTTCCTTCACTCCGTATTTTCTATTCATATAATCAAACAAAAAAGCTTTATTGCATTTGTTTTTAAAATCACTTTCTCTGGCACCTGCAGCTGGAGGCCCTTCTTTCAAGCTCACCAAAGTCAGTAGATCGTAAGACTCCTTATTACTGTGCTTAGTGTCCATTCCCTTGACCGTCCTCCCTCTCCTTAAGAGCCTGAGTCTTTAATCTCCTGTTCCATGAAATATAGCAGGCGTTCAGGAAACATTTGCTGAACCACCTAAATTTCTTAAGAAATAGAGGGTATAAAGGCAAAGTCTTGACTCTAGGCTCAAAATCAATTGTACCAACAGATCTGGGAATGCAATTTTGATAGCTGTCATCAAGGAAATACCTCACATGTTTACATAGGAAAAGTAAAAGCTACCACATTGGGGTTTGGCTAGTAGGATACCAGCGGCCAGCACAGCCCTGAGGCTATGCACTCTGGTCTTTATTCCAGACACAGCAAGTTGAAATCCTGACTCACCTATGCTGTCTGTCCTTGGGCAGTTCTCTTGATCTCTCTCAGTCCTGGCTTTTTCACCTTCAAAAATAGGGGAGGTGATACCTACCTTCAGAGTGGCTGTGAGGATTGAATCAGGGGGCTTCAATAAGGCGTTCAGCTCAGCACGTAGCACCCAGGACACCCTGAGTCCATGGCAAACACCTACCGCTCACTTATCTGGGGCTTTGCTTATGCTCTTTGCTCTGCTCTTATGCTCTTTGTTCACCTTGGTAACCGCTGTTTCTTGTGTCTCAGAGATGTCATCTGCCCCCAGCCTCCATCTTCTCCATCCCATGCAGGTCGGCCTCACCCCTCTTCTCCCACCTCACCACACGAGTGAAATGACCTGTCCCATCTCCCTCTCCCTCACCTCTACAAGGAGGCTGCTTTGCTGGTTTTGCCAGGGACCAGGATCCTGACAGCAAAGGTCACGTCCTGAAGTGGTCCTTAAACCAGGACTTTATGAATGATCAAAAGAATTGCTGAGATGAGCCCATGCTCTATCGGGAAGATGACAGTTTATCAGGGTGGAGATGGAGTGAGTGTGTGCACTGACTAGGATGAGTGAAAAGCCTCATTTTCCTCACTGAGCAGCAGCCGTGCTTGCTCCTTGCCTGGGCCACGCCACGCATCTCCCATGCATTTCATCACTTCTTACAAGTATTAGCTGATTTCCAGTGGCATCCGACACAATGTATCACAGCTACCCCTGGGACTTGCTGGTTTCCTCCTCTACTTGATGAGCCTCCACTGCGGGTTTTATCTCTTACTCAGTTCTGTATCCTCACCTCCCTGCCTGACTTGATAACCACCACTGGTTAACTAGGGCAGGACTAGTGGCATGGGGCTTCCTTTCCCCATAAGGCACCCCAAGAAAAAATTCCCAGGCTTACCTCTCCCTCACTTCATCCCAGGAACCTCCACCCGTGGCACACGAACCCCGAGTCCAACCAAGGCACCTGCCCCAAAATATCCACAGACAGGTAAGAAGGTTTAGCTGGAAAGAGAAACCCAGTACCTCATGGCTTTGGTGTAGGGGCTCCCGGTAGAGGGATAAGAGTGCCAGGAGGCTGACTAAGCTGGGCATTGGACCTCATTGGTTCTAGCAGGGAAAGAGGCAGGCGAAGTACTTTAAAAGCCTTGCTCTGTTGTTAAATTACCCCATGATTTGCATAAAGCTCTTCCTTTTCTTGGCTACAATTCCCTATAGACTTTGAGAAGGCTTTATCCTTAAACTGCTCTTATTCCTTCGTCCTGTGTTATCACCCAAGGCCAGTTCATGCTGACTTTTGCACCGCCATTCATGCCCCTTGCAGGTGACCTCCCTACAGCATGGCCACTTACCCCTAAAGAAGAGCCAGCCTTGGTCCCAGGACCCCACCAAGTCTCGAGTACGTACCAACAGCCTGCTGCTCTGTTGCTCTTGTTTGTTTGGAACAAGGTTGTATCGTGAAATAAAAAGAGGTTTGTTTGATTAAATTTAGATTCAAACTGCTGGGATTAAATTCTAGCTCTACCATTTACTGGGGAGGGGGTCTCCGGCACTCCGCTTCCTCAACTGGGAAGCAAGAATAATAACAATTATTGTGGGCACTAAAACTGTCTTTATTCCCCCACGGCTTTGTATTGAGTAAGATAATGTGTGTGGAAGTGATTTGGAACTACAGAGCTCCACATAACTTAATCCAATCAGCGTTTATCAAGTGAATACCTATTGAGCAAGGCACTGTGTGCTTTGCAAACAGAGGCTGTTCTTTTCATGAGCCTGATGTCAGCCGAAGCAGCAGAAGGAGGAACGGATGACTCCAAAATTCAATCCCCATTTGCTGGGTGCAGTTTACTTTTGTTGCATTTTATTTATTTATTTTTGAAAGATGGTATTTATTTACTGGAGAAAGAGGGCATGCATGTGTGGGAGTGGGGGAAGGGGCAGAGGGAGAGGAAGAAGCAGGGTCCGTGCTGAGCAGGTAGCCCAATGCAGGGCTCCATTCCAGGACACTTAGATCATGACCTGAGCCGAAGGCAGACCCTTCACCCAATGAGCCACCCAGGCACAGCTACTTTTGTTGCATTTTAAAGAACACCCTGCCTTCCCCGTCCCTGATACTTAATTTCAATGGAATTCTAGAGGAAACCATGTCCTGGGTTTATGGCTGGGTTTTTGAGCCTCCTCACAGAGGCTCAAAAAAAATGCTGCTCTTTTTTTTTTTTTTTTTAATTCCATTTTTGGATGCTTCCCTCTCTTGCTTTCTGTCCCAGAAGACAGAAATTGATACAGAATGAGTCCTCCAAAGCTCGTTGAATCCTCAGGGCCCTCCCACTCCTGGATGCCTTTCTATGCCTGTTTCCCGAATGTTCCTGCAGCATCCAGGAGTACGTCAGCAGGCCATTATTAAATTCCTGGAGACTACACAGTCCCTTTTTTCATACACTGAAGATTTGCCTTAGCCCCACTCTCAACCTGCAGTGAATGGGCCTTTCAGACACAAAGCCATGATTATACTGCCGAAAGATATTATAGCTATTTTTCCTCCAGAGGTTGGTGGTGCGGGGGCGGGGGGGGGGCGTTTTCAGACCAAGTTTTGGAAAACAAGCTGAGTATATAACTATCTGTATTTATGTCTACTTATACGGCTCTATCTATTATCTCTCTCTCTCTTTCTGTCCATCCATCGTCTACCCATCCATCCATCCAATAAGAAATATAAGTCAAAAATAAAGGGTTTTGACAACTTCCAGCAAATGGTTCTTCCCATTCACAAAGAAACAATACCACAAATCCTTTCAAACTGACTCATTCATCCATTCCGTGAATATTTATTGAAGTCCTACTGTTTCCCAGGCACTATGCTAAGCCTATTTTTACTCCATAATAATTCCACAAGGTAGGTAATGTTATCTTCATTAAGCCATTTCAGTGAGCACTACAGTTAAAAAGTAACTAAAATTTGAGCCTTCATTTGTCTAATTCCAAAGCCTGTGCTCACTCCACCCTTGTATGCTATCTATCCCAAGATTGTTCATTTGTACAAAATAATTGCAATTTGAGGAAGAAACTGGTAATGTTCTTAAGAGAAAAGGTGGTCAATGCTATGTGCAGCCAGAGGGGAGGTGCTTAGCTCCATCTGGAGCGACTGTTCAAGAGTCTTGAACTTTCTTGACAAAGAGAGAGGCATCTGAGCAGGGTTCCCTCTAAATATACATTTCAAGCAGTGCCACAGCTTATGCAAAGGCACAGAGGCAGGGAAGGACTGATGTTTCCCAGGAGCTGAGAAATTCCTTGTGCCTGGAATTCTGGTGCTACAGGAAGGAGTGATGAGGAGCCAGGGAACAGGAGCTGGTGGGGAGGGGGCGGGGCACATGGATCCCCAGGACGATGGAAGAAGTGTGGACCTCTTCTGAAACAACTGACATGGCCAGATTTGTGGTGCAGAAAACTTTCTCTGGCTGCAGAGTGGAGACCAAAGAATGGAGGATAGGAACAGGGATACTGGCAAGGAGACTGCTGTACTAACCACAGCCAGAGAGGAGGGGAGCTGGAACTAGGAGTTAGTTGTATGAGACTTGACTCATCAGGGAGACTTGGATGGTGTTCAGGAATCAAGAAATGTGATGGTGGAATGATAAGCAGGAGGTAACCAAACATCATGCCCAAGTTTGAACAATTGAGAGGCTAAGTGCCATTTCCTGCGTTGGAGAAGGAGTGGAGAGGTTGGGAAGGGGAGAGGGGCATGGAAATCAAGCATCAGGAATGTTAAGGATGTTCAAGTAGTAAAGCATGCTAGTATGAGCTCCAGACTCAGATCTTGCCAGAGTCGCTACCTGATCAAACCACAGAGTCGCTCAGACCCTCGGTGTCCTTTTATATAAAATAGATACCTACATTACATGATTTTATGAGAATTAAATGAAATCATGCTTGTAAAGAACTTAGAAAAGCACCTAAGTCCAGGTGTGTAATAAATGTTAAAGTAAAAAGTCATAGCATATTTACAAAAATTGATAAATATTCTGGAGGTTTTACTATTCTAACTGGCTCAGGATAGAATTCAAAATACATTTCCGTCCTACCTTTTTTAACTAATTCTATCTCTAACATATGAGCCCTCTCTCCACTTTAATAAACTTATGACCGATAGATGAATGGATAAGGAAGATGTAGTATATTTACACAATGAAATATCAGTCACTGAAAAGAATGAAATCTTGCCATTTGTGACAACATGGACAGAGCTCGAGAGTTTAATGCTGAGCAAAATAAGTCAGTCCGAAAAAGACAAATACCATCTGATTTCAAGCCTATGTGGAATTTAAGAAACAAAACAAATAAACAAAAGGGGAAAAAAAGGAGACAAACTAAAAAGCATACTCCTAGCTATAGAGAATAAGCTGCTGGTTGCCAGAGGGAAGGTGGGGGATGGGGAGCACAGATGCAACAGGAGATGGGAATGAAGAATGTACTTGTGTTGGTGAACCCTGGATGATGTATGGAAGTGGCAAATCACTACATCGTACACCTGAAACTAATATCACACTATAGGTTGACTATACTGGAATTAAACATTTGAAAAATAATAGTAATAAATATAAAAATAAGTAAATAAATCTAAAACTGCTCAATTATAATTTTCAAAAAGGTAAGAAAATGATTCATAAAAATATGAAATTAGCACATGTCAGAGATACTATTCAATCATTAATGAATGAATGAATGAAGATTGGCTCCATGGAGAGTTTGAGGAACAGGGATTTTTATAGTTAGTCCTAGGAATTTGGATATGAATTTACTAACTGATATCCCACAGCAAAGAATTATTTTTCTTTTCACTAGACAAAAACCAATTACATCTTTACCAGACAAAATTCATTCACGTTGCTCACCGGCAGGAATTATTTGTGTTGCTCTCAGATAAGAGTCATTGAACGTCTTCAAAGTTGCAAAACCACCAACTCAATCAATCAATCAAAGATACACACTCTTATGGAACCAGAAAATCCCCACAGTATGTGCTAGACAGTACCCAGAACTTATTTCCAGGTTTTAGATAATTTTTCTTGATAGTAACTAGTAATGCTTTGTTGGAAGATCGTTATCAACATCCTAATATAACCTTCAAATCACTAGAAGTTGCACCCTGTAAGAGGAAGCCTCTTTTCCTTTTTTTTTTAAGATTGATTTATTTATTTGAGGGAGAGAAAGAGAGCAGGGGGACAGGGAGAGGGAGAAGCCCTAAGCAGACTCCCCACCGAACAGGGGGGATGGGCTTAATTAGAGGACACCAAGATCATTACCTTAGCTGAAATCAAGAGTCCGCCACTTAACTGACTGAGACACCCAGGCGCTCTGTCTCTTTTCCTTGTGTTTATGAGTTGTTGTATCCTTTGGTCTGTGAGTGCCCAGCATGTAGTGAATGCTGAATACATTTTGTTGAGGTGGGGCAGAGTGGGGCAGAGGGAGAAGGAGAGAGAGAATCCCAAGCAGGCTCCACACTGAGAGGGGAGTCCACCATGGGGCTTGAACCAGGACCCTGAGATCATGACCTGAATGGAAATCAAGAGTCAGACATTCAACCAATGGAGCCATCCAGATATCCTGTTCAATACATTTTTAATAAATCAGTAATAATAACTATTATTTGTCATTTATCCCATAGCAGGAAGTTTGCAGTATGCTTTGTATACATTGTCTCCTTAAGTTCTCCCAGTGATCTTCAGGCAACTCACACCCATCTACTTGCACACAGCCTATACCTATGCCCCCCCACATGCAAAATGCATATATCCATGTGTGCACACACTCACATATATGCATGCACACATATGTCTGCACACACACATGCACACACACACACACACACACACACACACACACACACTCTGTATCATCTAATTATTCTCCATTGCCCTATCAGCAAACCGTCCCCTTGCTTGATGCTAGGTCCCCACATACTCTATCTCTTCCACTGGAAATACCTCCACCTGACCCACTTCTGTCTAATGTTTTAGATCCTTTTTTAGTATTTGCTGTCAGTGAGACCACCTCTGATTTCCCCCCGGGAACTGGACCCCACCTTACTCCACCTGTCTCTCGGACTCTCACAACAGCTTTCCCGGGCACTGAAGAAGCAACGTTGTCTGTCTGTCTCAGAGCCACCTGAGATCAGGGCCAGGACTCTATCCAGCAAGCACAGTAACAAACAGAGGGAAAATGCTTGCTAAATCCTTGTTGATGTCAGTGGTCTGGGATTGCATCTTCCAGGGTGTCCTGAGCTGCTCTTTGAAGAGGGGGCCATCGCCCCCGCTCCCCTCACCCTGGCCATCCAGAAGTTCAACCCTTGCCTGATGGAGCTGTGCCGCTTTTTCCAGCAATGCCTCTGCATGAGCCAGAAGAGAGAGGCTAGAGCAGAGGCCATGAGGTAACCGGAACCAGGTATCCCTTTCCACAATCAGCATTTTGGGGCTGCCTATGCTGCGTGGCTGCTCTGCAGGCCACAAGTGGCTGGGAACTGGCAAGTGATAGGGGTACCTCAAGGAATAGACTCTCTGGAGGGTCTTCTACTAGACCATCACCTCCTTGAGAGCCACGATGGAACCTCATTTATTTCTGGGTCCCCGGAAACCATTTCAGGGCCAGACATAGCAAGTGCAGCTGAGTCGAGTGGAGGTCAGCTAAGCTGATGTGAATTGAGCCCAGCTGAGTCCTACCTGGTGGAGTGATCACACAGGACTTCCAGTGGTCCTGGAGCCCTCTCAGCCTCAGCCTGGTGACATCTGCCAGAACTGAGTAATTGGAGGACATGTCCATCTAAACCCCAATTCTTTCTAAATCCCTAGAAGTCATTTGCTGGTCAAACGAGAAGATCATAAAACGAAATTTAGAAGGCAGATCCTGCCTCATATTAGAAGTTCTAGGCATGGTAATAGTTTCTTGCCCTCTAGTGCAGACATTCTTTTCCTTCTTCTGCAGTTTGTCTTGGCTATAAACCCAGAACCAAACAAACATAGGTGACCACTTCTGCTCCAGTGGTCTGGGGCCAATCTCCCAGATCTTTAATATTCCTTTCCAAGTCCATTCACGACTCTTCAGCTTTTTAAACCTCCACCATCCACTGGCTCTGAGCCTCAAGTCCAGGTTTGAAACCACTTTCCATTACATCCTGGTCTTGGACCTCTCAATTAGTGTTTGAGGGAGTGTTTCCTCCTCCCAGAAAGGGAAATGAGAAAGGTCCATAGACCCAAGGTGTGAGCAAGTGATGTGGAAGTATGTCCCCACCATGTAGGCTCATCCTAAAAAAGAGAATATTCTTGCAACATGATCAGCCCACTATCAGACCCTCCACCAGTAACTTTTCAAATCAGCGATGAGTTGAGTCTCTTCTGGTCACCTGTTATACACAGTGCTGAGCCATGGGAATTGAGAGTTGAATCAGACACAGGCCCAGAAATTGGGGATTTCATAGTTGGGAGGAAGAAATGGTCATAAACCCAAATTAAAATATGACATCGTAGGGGACAGAACTGAGTCATACCCAGAGGCAGTACCTATTCCTAGTATCCCCTTGGAGAAAAATCACATTTAAAAAATATATACTGCAAATGCTAGGGGGAAGGATGAAATGGGGAAGGCGGAAGTTTCCAGAGAGGAGTTTTAAGTTAAAATTTAGAGAAATGAAGCATGGAGGAACCGGAGCTTATCCCTTCTCTTCCCTGTATTTTACTTAATAGTGAACTGCTCTATAATCTCATACTAAACATGAGTACAGGCTCAGAATAACAGAGTGGGAGACTGGCTTTACTCAGTGTGTATTGAATAGCACAGCCCCTATGATCAAAAAATCATGCTTGAATGGGAAAGCTGGCCACACAGAGAAATTCCGAAACAGCAGGGCAAGCACTGTAGCAGATCCCAATATGTCCCGTGGGACCCCAGGGAACTAACTAATAGGGCCTGATGGGGGAATAGAAGCTTCCCAGGCAGGAAATGGGAGAGGCCACTCCAGGCAAAAGGAACAGCAAGTACAAAGATGAAAAGTGAGAGGCAGCCTGGAATGTCAGAGGTCCACTGAGATACGCAATGCGGCTGCAGAGAAGGCACAGGTCTGTTTTCAGGAAAGCCTTGCTCCTTCAAGCACCTGGCGAGCTCTTGCAAACAAGCTTGGACTTTTCCCCCCGGAGCTTCAGCTGCTCTTCCCGGCTGTGCATTTTCTCCTTCATTCAGAACAGGAGGAAGCCATATTCCCCAGGGTCGTTTGATATCCTCTCTGTTCTGGAAGCTTTCTAAGCAATTGGTCTGTAGGTCTTAGAACATCTTGTCACACTTGCACACTTCAGGCTAGGTGAGGGGAGATTAAGGATTAGGTCACAGAACTGGGATCTTAAAACTAGTGGGTAGCTTAGTCTACTGTATGTGGGATAAGGTGAAACCAAGTCAACCTACGTTTAAATTTAGGTTCTGGACTTACAAGCTCTGTAGGCTAGTCATGTAGTGTCTCTGAGCCTCAGTTTGTTATTCTGCAAAATGGGTATAATCTTACTAGCATGGTAGTGCATTCTGGCATAAAGTGGATTACCTGGGGGAAAATCCGCACTCTCTTGAAGGCAGTGAGTCCTCAGGCAAATCAGTGCATCTCTGTGCTCTAGTTTCCTTAATTTAACGGTGTCCTGGAAATTGAGGGTGCTGGAGCCTAGGGAATCTTTACAGCTAGCTGTACTCAGGCAGTTTGTTGCTCCCCAGGGGATGCTAGAATCACAGAGTAGTAGGGATAGGGGGGAAATGGGAAGATGTTTAGCCCGACCTCCTCAAGCATCTGGCACGGAATAGGCAGGGCAGTGAATCCCCCCGGAGTCCCACAGGGAGCCAGCGGCACAGCCTGCCCAGAAAGCTCTTCTTCCTAATAATGTTCTTGGTGCTCTCCCACTGAAGCCCTTCGAAGCCATCCCTGCAGCCCCAGCCAAGAGCAGGATATTATTTTGCAAGTATTTGCTTCCTTGTTAACTGTAAGAGCCCTGTGTTCTTAGCCCATCTCACACACAAAAAAACAAATATATGAACATAGTCATTGCAGAGCACCTGTTACAAGCCTGACCTTTTTGGGGGAACTTGACATATGTTAGTTCACTTAATCCTGGTGATAACCTGTGAAGATAGGTCCTAGGACTGCCTTTTGAGTGCATATGAAAAATCTAAGGCCCAGAGGAGTGAGTGCTCAGCCTGAAGTCACACATCCTAGTGAGGAATGAGTCCAGGACTAAAAATACATCTTTCTCACTCCAAAGTCTAAGCCTCTCCCCACTCAGCCTCATCCTCTGCCTTTCTCTCACACCCACTAAAGATGGAGAGGGGGTCCTTGCTGTGAGTAGTTGGCCAGGATGACTTTCAAAATGATGGCTGTCTTCCATTAGCCACAAGGGATGATAATCGCTTTCCACTCTCATTGGAATCTTTAGGTACTGTCTTCAATACTATTCCTGGTTTCTGAAGAATGCAACATACATCTGTCAGAGGGTGAAAAGGGTGTCCCACTCCCACAGTAAGTATACACTTGACCGTGTTGTAGCTTGACAATAAATGCTTTGTATGAAAGGGCTCTAGAACTCACTGATTGTCCTGCCTTCGTGGGGGACAGTCAGAGTAGCTACAGATCATGTAGTCCTCATTAATTTTAGACAAGAAAAGTGAAGGGTATTTCTGATTACTCTTCAACTAACAGTTCAGTGTTTGCAATTAGGTATAGAAAAAAAGAGACAGAGAGAGAGGAAAAAAAGCAGGAGTCAACCCGACCAAGCCATTTTGCTTTTTATATGATCTCAGGCAACTTTCTTATCCTCCCTGATTCCCATATAAGCTAAAAATACAAATGAGCAAAGAAAAATCAAACAAATAGAAACACTCAAACTCCTGACCAAAGCAAAATGAGTACAAATAGTCCAAGAAAAAGCTTATTCTTGTTCTTGTTTTTGTGTAAGATATTATTTTTCAGTAATCTCTATACCTAGTGTGGGGCTCAAACTCGCAACCCGAGTCACATACTCTACTGACTGAGCCAGCCAGGCTTCCTCGAATAATACAAATAAAGAAGGCATCATGAGGTGCTAGGAGTAGGGTATATGGTACCCTCTTCTGGACTTAATGGCATCAAAGCCCCATTAACTCAGAAAGACCAGACATAAACTTTGTTTTTCTCCCCCTCCTGCAGACTAAAATGGCTGATCGGGCCTGGCTGGTCTCCAAGCTAATGGTCTGACCATCTACCTGTACTATCGAGTCAAAGGACTCTGACCTTCCAAAAGTCATGGAGCTATATGGAACTTACATTACCTTCATTCTGCAGCACAAAGGCCAAGCATTTAGGGGTGGAGGCTTTGGGGGGGTGGTGGTTGCTCAGTTGTCAAAGACAGATATCCCTTTGCCTGGGATGAGCAGAGGGAGCAGGAAATTTTACAAGCTACTTACACTTAAATAGCTCTTCTTCTGTCCTTGGCACCTTAAAAATCTCCATGCAAACAACATATTACATCTACTGAAAAACATATTAATGGGGTTAGATTAGCTTTCTGCAAACTGGAGAGATCAGGTAGATAGAATTGGGTATCGGGAAACCATCACTGGGCCACGAATGCAGAGCTGAATGATGCTCTCCTCTCAACTTGGCTGCTAACCAGGGGAAGGTCTTGCCCACATCATTCCCCCTCTCTGACACGGACTCCTGAGTCCCTGCCCACCCCAATGCCCTGCCTGCCCCACCCTTGCCTTCTGGAAGAGCCTGGCCCATGGCTGATGTCACCTGACTTTATGTCCCTGTAGCATTTACTTCTTTCTCACTACCTTGAATTCCCTCTTCTTTTTTCCTTCCAGCGTTAAAACAAAAATGCCTCCAGAATATCTGTCAGTCAGTGTGAGACCTTGAAAAACAGATGGGACCTGATGATACACTGGACAAGGGCTCTTCACCCTGGTCCCTGGCCCAAATTGGCTGTCTTTGCAGAATTCACCAGACTCCAGCCAGATCATCAATCAACCAAAAGAGGTTCTTTTTGGAACTTGCATTTATTTCTCTCCTCGAATCCTGGGAAGGTGGAAGACCAAGTATCCGAGGCTGCACTGAGACCTAAATCCGTGTTTAAGGAACCCCCAGGATGCTTGCAGCAATCCTGAGACTGGAGAGATGGGACGAGGGGTGTCGCACTAGCAGGAGCAAACTGGTCCAGGCTCCGGGACTCTGACACAGTACCCAAAGTGACTTAAACTTGGGATTTTAGGAAGACAGCAAGATAAATAAGGAAAAGTGAACTCATACTGTGGAGAGATTCACATATGATTTCTATATACCATTGACTCACACTCAGTTATGTACAACTAATCAGACTTGCTGATTATAGGATCCAGATAGTGTCCCAAGCCCTCTGAGTAGGAGGTGATGAGAACCTTTCCTCATAAGAAGTGTAGAGAGTTGTGGGTTTTTTGTTGTTGATGTCTTGACTTGAATCCTTATCTGTGGATCCCACTGTATATGGGGGTCTCCGAGAGCATGCTCTAGCTCAGTGATTCTCTAATAGGACTTATGGAACTCCAAACAGCTGTCACACTCACATTTACTGCTTATTACAGCAAAGGGACAGAGATTAAAGTTGGCAAAGGTAAAAGGGGCAGAGGGCAGGGCCTGGGAGCACCTGGGCACCAGCTTCTGGCTGTCCTCTCTAGTGAGGCTGCAGGGACAGCACTGAGTTCTTCCAGCAATGACACATGGCAATACATATGAAGTATTGTCAACCAGAAAGGTTCACCCAAGTCGTGGAGTCCACAGTTTTAACTGGGGATCGGCCTGTAGGCATAAAGTGCCCACATAGCTGACTTCAGTTACTCAGTCTCCAGGCTCTCCAAAGGAGAAGTCTCCAGAGGGCTCCAGAGGTCACAGCGACATGGCGTGACCCAAGGCCCCCGCTATAAATCACATTTTTAACTTAGAGACTAAGTCTGGCATGGCCCAAAGCTCCAGCTGGAAAGACACTCTTGTAGGGCAGGAGACTCCAAGGGTTCAGAGGTTAGCCCCTAGGAGCTGTTCAAGGACTAGACTTTTCTTTGGCAGATGTAGGACTCAAACACCCGAGTCCTGCTGAGTCAACCCTTGTCTGCACACCCATAGGCGAAGGTGTCCCCTTTAGTCAATTCAGGTCCTTTCTAACCTCATCCGAGTCTCCAGCTGCTCCAGCACCCCTGTGAATGCCAAGTCTTCCTGCAGAGCATTTCTGAGCAGGCTTGCTATTTTCATGGCCATGGACAGACCCCCAGTTCCTCACTGCTGTGTCTGGAGGTCTGGCTCCACTTTCTTACATTAGTAGGCTGCCCGGCCATCAGTTTTCCACCTTTGTGATCTATGCCTGCCCCGGGTGAGAAAATTCACTTTCTGTTTACAGTCCAAGTTGAACCAATTTCTCCCCATTGGAAGACACTTGAGGGCCCTTGGTCTGACTCCCTGTGAACAACAAAACTCTTGGAAAGGTAGACCTTGAACTTTGGAGAGAGAAGCCACTAGACACTTCCCTCTCTGATCACACACAGATTTATTTTTCATCTCCAGAATACTCCAGAAACCCTCAAAGTTATGCAACTGTCAAGCTCAGGAATGCCTATTGTCATGACGCTTAGGGTCTGCAGAAGGCCCTCTAGTCTGCAAAGCTGAGCAGGACCCAGTAAATCCACTAGGACAAAGAGACCCATATATGGATAGGAATCAAGAAAACAGCACCATTCGTCAAGTATGGGTTAATCTAACTAGACCTTCTCTAATGGATAATGTTGATATTAATGAAGGATCTTTGGCAAGAAAAGATCCCAGACATCCCTCAAAGAGTAGTTTATCATCAGGGAAGGGGAACAAATGACTTGGTCCCAACATCCTGGCTAGTCACTTGTGGGGAAAGCCTTAGGGATAATGGCTGAGCATGGCTAACTTTGAAAAGGCCACGTGAGGAGGACCTCAGAGGCCCATGGAGGGGTCTGACCTTGCCGCAAAGACAAAGGTTCAGAGGTCCACACAAGACCAGTTTTCTAGGGTCACACCATCTGTCATAACAGCAGTAGCAGCAGGACGAAAACAAGACCCAGGAGTAATGTGACCAGAGCCTGGAGTTCACGGTCTGCTGGAGGTCAAAGGGAGGTTTGACCCCTCCTGAGCTTAATAAGTCCCTATTTGGGGTGTACTTAGGGCAATGATGAGGCCTCAGGGGATGCTGCCACACTAGAGTTCTTGGTGATTTGAGCATATGTGGCCATCAGGGGTTCCCTGAGGAGATAAAAATGATGGGGAAGTTACTGCGTGCCTGCTGGTGGAAGAGACTGCATTTACACGTGTAACCTCACCAAACAGTAGGCAAAAGCACAGGTGCATTCCTGTCTGTTTCATTCATGCCCAAAATGCAAGCCAAAGGAGCAGGAGCAAGGGAAGTGGGAAGGAAGGAGAGAGGAGGGAGGAAGGGGAGACAGGAATTTTGGCACTGAGCCATCTAGCCTGTTGACCTATCAGTTTAGAGATGAGAGTTCTCCTGTGCTGGTGGGTGAAGACTGGGGCGGCGTACCTTAGCTCGTCATCCATGCTCATAAGACACTGAACAATAACTAATGACCCATAAACAAAGCTTCCATGCACAAGGGCAACTAATTATTTGCAGAAGCCTTCTGGTGGATTCTGTAAAGCCTCAGGTCCCCCAGATTTAATGGTCAGATGAGCCCCTGTGTTCCCGCAGGTGGGTGGGAGGTGAACCATTCCGAGGGCTCGCAGCCAGGCAACCCTGTCAGCCACAAATGATCCCATCACGGTGAGCTCGGACAAACGCCCCCACCTCGGCACCAGCTGTCCTGACTGCCATAAGTGTAGGATTAGCAGATCAGCTGCGGTGGTGTAGCTGTAGGGGTTAGAGGGACACAATCCCATAAAAACACAAAAAAACTCAGATGTTTGCTCTCATTCTTAAGATCTGGAAAAGAAACCTGAAATTCTGGAGGATCTAGGATCACAAGCCCCTCCAAGCACTGGCTCGCCTTGTTCACACAGTCCCACTGGGGTCATCCATGATGACCCATCCATGTGCATCCCATGAAATGCACATGGGAGCCAAGCCTGAGCAGCAACAGGTCAGCATCCCATGCTAATGAGTGGGCAGGGCTAGCACCTGACCCTCGCATGTCTGATTATAAAGCCCCGTCTCACCCCACCCTACAGCTGGGGCAGGAAACCCCTGAAGGAAAGAGGCATCGAATTCCCAGGCCTGAGGTCAGGAACATATAAGAAGGACACCCAAGAGATCCTCTTGGGGAAGAATTAACTAGAGCAGACAAAGCCAGCCCTTCTCCTTGTGGGAGAGCCCATTCGACTTTCATCGGTCTTTCATCCCCCAGAGTTCCCCTGATGACCCCGAGACACAATCCCTGGGCCTCCAGGCCTTTGAGATGAGGTGGGGAACAGGGGAGCCATTGTTCTCTGATTAGAGCCTGGGTCTCCTCTGAGGAGCAAGTTGGGCCTCTTAATAGGGAGCCTCACCTGCTCCAAGCCATCGCATTAGGATGTCCTCCTCCCCCTCAGAGGCCTCCCACCTGCCAATCTGCACAAAAGGCCATCCTCTCCATGTGAGAAGGGGGAGGGGGATCACATGACTAAGGGTCTTCCCTTGGGGTATAAAGGACGCAGTCACCGTCTTGTTCAAAGCTGAACATCGTTCATCCACCTGCTTCGGAGTGGGACTTTCACGGTAGGCACCCCCTTCCTCCTGATGGGTAGGGAGTCAAAGAGTGCAGGAGGGAGGGAGGGAGGGAGGAATGAGGGAAGGAAGCTACCGATGGCAGAAGGGGGGGGGTAGGTTGTGCTCTCGGGATGCCTGAGACCTGGATGCTAACTCGTCCAGGATGGAGCTAGAAACCAAATGCACTCTGCCCTTATACGAATTGAGGAGATGTGATGCCAGAGAAACATCACCTGCTCAATGTACCGGGGGAAAAAAATCCACTACATCACATCAGTGAGGGTCCTGCAATCCTGTGTGAGCCGCTGTCTCTCTCTGGGGTACCTAGTGTGAAAATATGGTAATCATCAGTTATGGGCCAGTTTGCCTGAGCTTAGTACACAGCAGGCACGGTGCCCCCTTTAACCCTCATGATACCATGATGAAAAACCACCATCTAGGCATTTTGCTGCCCAGAAAAATGAGTTCCAGTACCCTGGCTCAGGGCACTCAGTATGTAAAAGCCAGAGCCTTCCCCCCATCCTCATCCCCGGCCTGTCCGCTAGAAAACCTTTGCTCTTAGATGCTTCCCACACTGCATCAGGATGCATGAGTCATGCATCAGGAGACAGTTGGATGAGCCAGGACCCCAGATAGTGCCTGCAGATCAAGGCAAGGTGCAGGGAGCCCTCATTCCCACAAGGACAGTCAGGTTCACTGTCAGCCCCAGAGGCCTCCTTGGGTAAAGTAAGAAGAGGTGGTCCTTCCTCTAGGTGCACACAGCCCCACACCCAAGGGCACCTGGCTTGGCCAATAAATGGCTGCTGGACTTCAGCAGGGGCCCGGTGCCCTCCCACCTGGAGACCGTGGTGTGCATGTCCCGGATTCGGGTCTTCCTCACCAGTGTGCGGTGCTGATCCTGTGCTGTCACCTCTGGCTGTCACCCAGATCTCCCTCTCTTGTTTCTTAGCTAGGGACTGTCAACTGCAGCGTCACACCACATCCCGGCCGGTAGCCGGACACTCTGAGGGGCCTCCTGAGCAACCATTACCTAAAATCATGACAGTTGTACAGTGAATGCCGCCTAGGCTGCTTGTTGGGGGTTTAACGCTCCGGTTGGCGGTTTCTGGTGGGTATCATACGTGGTTCGGAGACTTACGATGAACCAGACGGCTCAGTTTGAACGCTGCATCTGGGGCTGCCGTGGCCTTCCTGGACCTCTCCGAGCCTCGGTCCCCCATGCGGAAAGTGAGACATGTGCCAGGAAGAGCCCTGGCGAGCCAGTCCAAGGCATAAGCTGACAAAAAGAATAACTCCATAAATGTCAGGCAGTGTTTAAAGGAAGAATGTCTTGGAGTGTATAACTCACTTTGCTTTTAAGTGTGGTAAAATATACGTACTACAAAATTTAGCATTTGGACGATTTTTAAGTGTGTGGCTCTGTAGCGTTACGTGTGTTTATGTGTTGTCACCTTGATCATCATCCATCTCCAGAACCGTCTCATCTTCCCAGCCGAACCTCTGTCCCCGTTCAGCAATGACCCTGTCCTCCTCCCTGCCCACCCCCCGGAGCTTGCTTTAAAAAAATACATCAGAGCTGAGTCACGATTTCGTCTGTAATAAGGTCACTTTTGCTCATTTGCCTTCTAATAAATACACACTTGAAAATCCAATCAACATATTTGCAGTTCCCACGAGCGTCACCCTCAGCCTGTCTTCTAGGCCCGTCAGGACAACCTGGGGGCTGCCTCCCTGAAGGGAGTGTTGCAGGAGCAAAGGAACAGCATCCACTGCACAAAACTGACCACCCTCCTTCATTTCATCAGACAGGGGCTTCCACTCAAATGGGGAACGGGGGCCTTTATTGCAACGGCTGCTGCTTCTGGAGCCTTTACTGTGCGCCAAACGCAGTGGCTGTAGTTATGAGTGTTTCTGAGCCACTTCTCCCCATCACACACTGTCTCCAGTGCCCTGGGTGGAGGAGCTCGTTCCATCCCCACAGTGGCCTTGGAAGCAGTACTGTTCTCATAATGAGCTCTGGACATTTGGGAAGTGGGACACTCGAACCATAAATGGCCAGTCTCTAAGGCTCAGTGAACTCACCTGTTAAATGAGTTTGAGCACGATGGGTCCCAGCGCCTTCTCAGAGGTCAGGCATCCTAGCATTCTCCCATGGTATGCTGGCGACAATAGCAAATCAGACTTAGTGAGTGCACGGGTGACACGGGTCTGACTTCAGTGGGTGTGACCTTCTGGAATGCCTTCAGCCACCAGCCCACGGAGTTGCCACGGCAGCCACCCTGAATCTGGAGATGTCCCAGAGCTCACCCTGCATTTTCAGTCTGGTTTTGTGGCCTTGGTCACAAGTCATTCAGATCCAAATCTCTGCAAAAGAATCAGAGAGCCCGTCTAACCGTTAACGTTAACTGCTTAGGAATGTATGTGGCTACCAAAAGTTGAAGCAGAGCAGCACACCCACCCGATGATAGCCAGAGTACAAGGAGATGACTGAGCCAAGCCCAAATCCCCGAGAACTCACGTTCTGCCCTTGTTCAACAAACATTTACTTTATGGCCACCAGAGTCTGGGCTAGGCCCTGGGGAAGGTTCACACAGCAATGATTCCACAACCTACAGATGTCTTCTCCTCTGGGACACCTTCCCCAATATCAATCCCTGCCCACAAGTTACAGTGGCCCACCATGACCCTGGGGACATTTGCTGGGGCACCAGAACACGGGGCAGACTTTGCCTCTGGCAAAACAAACTGCAGAAAGTGCTCCTTCCTCCAGGCTAATGCAGCCCTGCAGAGGGCAAGCTTGGGAGTTGAGCACCGGTTGCATTTCAACCCATATGGGCCCCCCGGTGCAACACCTTTGCACAGTGGACAACATGTACAACCCTATCCGGCAGCCAAGTGTGCCAACCAGGGTAGCATGATCATTCTGTATTACCACTCACACTTCGTTCTGAAAACCTCCTTTACAGCAGAATATGCACAAGTCAGCCACCCATCTGACAGTCTTTATGGAGTTATATTTCCCGGGGAGCTAAGATTATTCTAACATCTCTCTGGTCTTTAATGTTTTTCCTTCCCTGTTAAATACATGGTTGACCTGCTTGAGTGCATTAAGTGCCTTCCGAAGTTAAATATTTGCTGAGCTGCTCAGATCGCTGGGCAGTGACGATTGGAAGGTGGTAGGTCCTTGAACCCTGGCCCTTGCCCCGCACCCCGCCCCGGAAAGAATTACCTCTGGAATACTGAGACTGCAACCAAGTATTCAAATTGCTCTGAAACTTCAGGAAGGGAAGGAAGATGGAGCCCTGGCGGAAAAGCATTTTGCTAGCAGGCGGCGCCACCATGCGGTCACCAAATTTATTCCTAGGTCAAGTGATGGCATGAAGGCTCCAAGTCAAACCTCTAAGGGTATATATTCTAAACACTGCTTATGGCCCAGTGTATAGGGTTTTTTACATCTCAGTCTACAAGTCAAACTATAGCACTCGTTCAGCCTCCCTTCCCCATTAGTCTGTGAACAACTCACAGATAAGGAATATTTTTTTCCCTCGCTTTGCATTCCCGGATCCTTGCAATGTGCCTGATACACAATAAATTACCACCGGGAAAAGGAATAACAAAATGAGACCAGATCTGTGTCCTCATGGGGTGCCTGGTTAAGTTTCCGCCTTACAGATGGATGGACTGAATCTCAGAGAAAGAATGTGATCTCCTGAATGTCATTGGTTACCACTGGTGAGTGGCAAAGCTGGGACAGAAACCCTTTCAGGGCTTCTTCCTGTATCTGCACCGCACGGCGGGACAAAGAGCTCCTGGTGGTTCTTATTTCCCGGATCTCTACAAACATCCTCATCATATTCCGCTGACTTCTCTCCCAGGAGGCCGACCCAGCCAATGCCTTGGCTCCCAACCTCTGCCCCTCCCACTATGTTTGTGCTTCTCCTCCTAAGTATGCTGACAGCCCTGCATGGTGGTGAGTAAAGGCATTTTATATGGAATTTCCGGCTTGGCCTATAATTAATATGAACAGTGGGGAGGATTGTCAAATGTCATCTGATTTGCTTATTACTACTTTTATCCCCTTGCCTAGGAGTGATGGAAATCAAACAGTAATGGTAAGCTACGGATTTAGCTCAGCTGTTGCTTTGAGCACCCTATCCAGGGCATGAAGTGTGGGGTGGACGATGAGGTGGAGATCCAACGAGAGCTAAAGGCACTAAAGGCACCACTGGGTGGCCAGTTGGCAGCCATCCCTCTCCCTGATAGTGCATCCCCTCTTCTCTTTGCCCATGGACCACTGTTCTGTGTTCGCTGGTTTCCTCGGAGTGAGGGCGTCAGCCTTCTTGACATGCAGCTGCTCCCTTTCCCCTATGTCTGGTGTGTCTGTTGGAGAGGCAAACACTTCTACCCCACATTGTAGGGTCCCCGCCCCACCAAAGCCTGAGGACACCTGAGCAATCTCCTTGGCAGCCAGGGTAGTCATTTCAAGTTTGCATGGAGTTGTGTCTACAAATCTGAGACTTCTGGCTCCTTATTTTCTTTTTTGTGGACACATTGGTGCAAGTCTCAAACACCCCAACTCACTTCTTTCCTTCCTACAACTGCTCAGGCTCCATTGTGACTGATATCACTCCTTTATCCAGACATTTTCTCTTTCCCTCCTCCTGTTCGGGTCAGCTCTGGGCCAACACGCTGAGCCTCCCTCTCTGTGGTTCCCTCCTAAGCTCAATAGTGAGAGTGAGCCACAATGAATCCACCAATATTGTCGACAATTTATTGGGACCATGACCCAAGTTAGTGGATTTGCAGAGGTTTCCATGTTCCCCAGAATCTTGTGAGCAGAAATGATAGCACTTCCCAGAAGATGCAAGTCTTTTCCTTCAGGTCCCAGTCCTTCCAAACACCATCCCAGACCTTCCCTGCTGGACAGGTGGACAGCCACTTCCAGAAGGTGCTGGCTTTCTGTTGATTATTGAGTTTCTTCAAGGATGGCTTTTTTCCCTTATTAAAACCATTTTGTCATGATGTGGGTTCTCAGGGATGGTGCCGCCAGCACTGATGTGCCGGGGCCCAATCAAATTCCTACTATGGTCTTGACTCTCACCCCCCAAAGCCCATTCTTCTAATTTTTCAAACTTACTCTCTTTTTTAACTGACCCTTTCCTTTTCCAAAACAATAAATTTCCTTTTGATCAAAATTACCCCTTCAACACCCACCAGACACCTTTTACACATATCTGTAAGTGCTTTATTTCTCTATAAGATTGAGGCAATGGTCTCCTGTTATTATAAATGGTCACAAGCATTTATGCATCTGTCCTGGCAGGTTTTATTCTCAGACACAAGCAGCGAGAGTCCAAAATTTATAGCCAAGAAAGTTTAGGTGCAAACATACGCATGTCCATGTGGATTTAAATGTGCCATACCTGCAGCTCCAACTTTGCAGGTCTGAGTGTGTGACCCCCACAGAGAAAACACTGCCCACCCAACGAATGCACCACGTCTTGATCCAGGCACCATAGGCGGAAAGGGCTGTTTCTGAGGCAATGAGATTAGGAAGGGGGAGAGATCTGTTGCTGTGCCAGCAAAGACGGGGCATCCATGCTCTCTGTGGGGTCTGAGGAGCCCTTGGCAAGGACACCAGGGAGGAATCCATCAGAAGAGTCCCTTGTACCCCAGGAAGAGGTCCACTGAGGATTACCTGCTGAGACACTGGCTGAGAGCCAGTGCAAACCCTGCCTGGGGCTTCAGAGCCCCCCACCTACAAAACTGGGTCTCTGCTGGACACCTTCTTGCAGCTGTGCCCCAGGGCTATCTGACTCCTATTTCAAGGCAAGGTTTTGGGTGTGTTGACAATGTGGAGCATCTCTGTGCCCTACCAGGCCTCTCCGTGGGGTGTCTCTTGGTCCCTGTGGCAGGAATGGGAGCGACCTCTATGTTTGCCTCCTCACATACACCCAGGCTGCCCTCCCTCCTGTCTTCACTGAGACCTGGCTCATGACTTCAAAAGGCAGTCATTGCCCAGTGGGATGGTGGTCAGGTCTGTGTTAGGAGAGGGAAATCCCCTTCTACCTATACCACATGCTTCCTTCATCGGAGAGCTCTGTACCAACCCACATCACACAGCAAAATTTGTTCTCACTCTCCATGGTTCTCTGCATGTCGATCTTCCAGAATCTCTGGGAATAGGGGCTGGGTAAAGGTAGGTTTTGTGTATCTCTGGTTGATCTTCTGGGTAGAACACTTCACACTATGAAATACCACTCATAACCACCAATAGACCTTATCTTTCCACAACCTCAAGAGGACATCTCCTAATTTCACTTAAACTTTACAAGGCTGGGACTCTGATTCTAGTGGGCCATCACTCATTGGCTGATAAATTGACCATTTGATGGCATGGTTCAATCACTGAGTGCTCATTAAAGCTCTCAATAAAGAGCTATCTACTGAAGTGTGCTTTAATGTGTCAGTGGGCTGAGCCTCAATACGTTCCTAATGTAGTGGGGGAAATGGTCACATGAATAGATCATTCCAACATGGGGTCATAAGTGCACTGAGAGAAGGATGCCTGTGCGTTACGGAAGCCATGGAAGGACTCCTTACCCCAGCCTGTGTTGCAGTTCCAGTAGAGCTTCTTGAACTTTGCATGGAATCCAAAAACATAAGTCAGTAACGCAAAAGGGAGCAGGTCCCCCAGGCTCAGGACATGGCACAAGCCAAGCCAGGTTGGCAAGAAGTAATTTAGTGTCTGAAAAATGATAATCATCTTAGAAGCATGAGGTTCAAAGAGGGAAATGGTTTGGCAGAGCTAGGCAGGGCAAATGGAGGGTAGCCTTAGGTGCTGGGGCAGAAGCAGCTAGATCTTCCTCCAAGGGTCTTGCCTTTACTGCAACAGCAGAATGTGCCCCACAGCACTGGGCACAGCACTGGGTTTGAGGGGCTGTCTGCAAAACTAAGCCTGGAACAGGACGAATGCTAGCTCCCTTCCCTAGCGCAGCACTCCTACAAAGCCAGAACTCTCTCATCCCCACAGAATTCTCACCCACTCCCACTGCCACCCCTCTGGAGCCAACTCAGTCCTCTGGGATCAGCCATTTCAAATCCAGGGCACTACTTTCATTGCTAATGAAATGTGTGGGTGTCAACACCCTGAAAGTACTATGGGTGGGGGTAGGGGACACACATCCTTGTTAGCTGCTTCCCAGTGAGCAGACCATCTCTACCTACCAGGACGCCAAGGAGATACCAAAGAAGTAATCACCATGGACCAGGCGATATTTCACAATTGCTGCTTAAGTGGGCAGTGGATATTCTTAGCTGTTGGCTGATATGCTAATTAAATCATTCCTGAGGCCAAGTATGGAACGCACCAGTGAAATTACAGGGACTCTGTGATGGGGCTTACCTGGAGCTGAAGGAAGTCCTGGGTCTCCCCACCTTCTGAGCATCGGCAGGGCACTTCCCTGTGCACCCCAGGGCTCTTGGGCTGGAGGGAATGCCCCAGTGGGACCATCCCTCCGTGTTTAATGGTGAGAAATCTGGACCACCAGAGAGGCTGCTCCCAGCCACAGCCACCGAGCACATCCAGCTGGGAGGGAGGCCGGTGCTGGGTGGACTTTTTCATGAGGAAGGGCTGGGGTGCGGTGCCCAGGAGGGCGCTGCCTCCCCCTCCAACCTGGCCCAGGAGGGCCTGACAGCAGAGGTCCTGGGGGCTGCCTGGACCCAGGGCGAGCCCACAGGGTTTGTAGGTTGGAAGAGTGCTCTCCTGCAGACAAGCACCTGCTGAAATCGTCTGTGTCCCCGAGATAAGTCCATGGTGATGAGGAGGAGGTGGGTGAGGAAGTGAAGTCTGGACAGTGCAAACCACTTGTTAGTGTGGCGGGGAAGGAGACAGTGAGTGGAAGTGGTATAATGGTCATAATAATGATGAATGGACTAGGGTAACATTCGCGAGTTCACGGCACACCTGTCAAGGCTACTTAATCCACTCTTAGATGCTTCTTTGATCCAATGATGACAGATTTTTTTTTAAGATTTTATTTATTTATTTGAGAGAATGATTGAGAGAGAGAGAGTGAGAGAGCGAGAGAGAGCATGCACACATGAGCAGGGTGAGGGGCAGAGGGAGAGGGAGAAGCCGACTCCCTAGTGAGCAGGGAGCTCTACAACAGTCTGGATCCCAGGACCCTGGGACCAAGACCTGAGCAGAAGGCAGCCGCTCAACCCACCGAGCCATGCAGGCGCCCCCATGTGGTCAGATGTTGCAGGCTCAGGTTCATCTACCATCGCACCATCGTGGAAAAATGCAGGGTAGGGGGCTGCGTCTCAGCATTCGTAGACCCCTACCAGCCATTGCTCATTTTGCACGCTGATAGTGTGAGAAATGTGAAATTGTGAGAAAGCCCTGTCCTCGATGATAAGCTCCCTGGGGGCGGGCGGCCTCTCCTTGCCCACACCATTCTTTCAAGACATTCCAATCAAACATGTGATCTAAATTAAATTGGTGTGCTTCCTATGCAACAACAGCTTCAAGAGGAGTCCCCAAACTTCTCCATCCTCCACCAGAAGGCTACTCTTAAGGCCAACCCATTTGAAATACTGAGGCCACCTTATTTTCATCAGAGACCCAGCACACAGCAGGTCCTAGAAAAATATACATAGAATTGAATTTACCTGCATCCCCTCGCCTCCTGACTGCTCCAAGTAGCAGTGCTCCTGCTAACCCTTCTCTCCTCCTTGATCATAGGGGGCCACCCTTTGGACACCCCACACCTTCCAGGGGAGCTGCCTGCGGGACTCTCAAAAAATATCAGTAAGGATTCTTTGAACGTTTCTTAGGTGACCTCATGGGGTAGAAACTTGTCTAGGATACTGGCAGGGAGAATGACCCCTTCTAAATACAGCACTCACTGCTGGGGCTCTTGTAGGCAAAGGCATTCAAATAAAACTCCAAAGCGTCCCCCTCCACTGTCCCCCCTGTGCCTACCCATCCCTGCTCTGTCCTCTGAGACAAAGTATTACAACTTCCATCAAAACACGAAGGTCAGCTGAAAGGGGAACAGGGGATGGAAGTAAATGGGCTGGTTGTGAGGGTTAGATGGTCACAGTATTTCAGCTTCAAATTGAGCTATGAGCCTCCTAGAAGGCAAGACGAAAAGAGAAAGACAATATACTCCTGGGCTCTACTGATAAGAAAGGAGGAGCCATAATTTTTCCTTTGGGAAGGGGAGGTTTTCCTGGTGATAAACTGTAGAGATTTCTCAGGTGGGTTCCTAGCTGGGTACTGCTAAAGACCATGATGGATAGTGAACCCGCGGGTCGTGTTAGCCCTGAATTTAGGGTTCATTTCCTACCTTGCAGAGAGGCAGGCTGAGTCAACCAAGTCTTTGTGCATGAACTCAATGCAAGCAAAGTGATCAGTCTCACCCAGACTCAAATGACCCTCTGAGCTCTCTCAAAATGCCATCGGCCCCGTGGGAAGTGTAACGCCCAGGCCAAAGAGAACTTCTAGTAGATGTTAAGACTCACAGGTCACACTTGGCACTTGGAAGGATCAAAGCCAGGAAGCCCTGGGTGCCATCAGGCCATGCCTGTCATTCCTTTTCAACAAGAGTGGCCGTGGGGGTGATCCACACATCTCCCTGCCCCCAGATAGCAGCTCCGGGATAAGGGAATGGGGCTCCCATGGGGCAGCCACAGGACCCACCCTGGCCTAGAAGCTTGTCTCTATTGGAACTAGTATATCTAGTAACAGTTTCATAGGCATGATTTCTGGGATGCCCAGAAAAGACACATTTCATTTGCAAGAGTTATCACACTAAGGGAGCCCCCAGACAATGACTTCCTGCCAGGTGTTTATAGTTCGCCCATGGTCCCTGCCAAGGCCAGACACACCTTACCATCCGGGGTCCTTTGTAGCACTGAGCAATGTTGCCTGGTAACACAGTTCCGGGCTCATCTTCTCAGGTCTCCATGGTAACCTGTGTTACCAGAAAGTTAGTCCAAGGTCAAATCTATCCTTAGAGAAAGGATACTCTTCACAGGGGTGGGGCAGAGCAAGGAATCAGGGCAGGGGGGAGGGGAGAAACCACAGCTCTCTGATTTGTTTTCTCTACCTTCCACTTAGATATCACATCCTTCCCTGGGGTGTTTAAAAATGTGGAAAGTGTGGCTGCCATTTTTGGTAAGTTAAATACTAAAGTGCTTCTATTCACCTGGTGTCAGGGCATGGGGTGAGCGTGGGAAATCTAAGCAAACTACTAGGGCCTTGGGCTCCCCTGCTCCCACCACCCCAGCAAATTCTGAGCTGTGGGATCCAGGTCTGACGAGAGGAGTGGTGTCTTTTATTGCAGGGTGAGTAACCCAGCTGCCAAGCACCTTCATAGTCCTGACTTCCTTGGTCCCGACCACACCACAACCTGACTGGGAAGGGAAAGGTACCCCTGTTGCACAGCAGAGGTCACAAGAGGGCAGCTCCCCGCTGTGCCCAGACCTTCCAGACCCTCTTAGTCCCTTCCACCAAAGTTGTTGGATTTTTTTCTGCCCAACTACTACAGATACATGATAAAATATACATACATAAAACCTAAGAATGCCAAAGAGTGTCAAGTATTCCATTTCTCAATTATGTATCGATCATGTGACCAGCGATTGCCAGGCACCATGATGGGTCCCATCATTGCTTTCCAGAAGTGGCCCCCAAGTAAGGCTGCCACAGGATTGACAGGAGCAAGGAGTGCCGAGCTGTTGTTGGATTAGACAGTGCTGGCCAGAGGTCACTAAGTGCAGGTGCCCCATACGTTTTTGAATGAAAATGCATATTTGTATAAACACACACATACACGCACACACACACACACACACACACACCCCTTAGAGTGACTTTTTCCTTCAGTACAGAATAATTTCTTTGTTTTTCTGATTACGCTATATGGAAATAAAACACAGGAAAGGAAGTTTGAATGGAGTAGGAAAAACTAGAACAGTCTGACTGAAACTAGTCTTTGCAAACCAGTCCTTGACCTCTCCAGGTTCCCCCACATGTGACCCCGTGCATTAGAATCAAAGCTGTGGGGTCACCCCGTTAGCACTTAACAGTCCTCTAACAGTCCTCCAGTCAGAAAGGCCTAGAAGGGGGAGGGTGAGCATGCAGCTTAAAGTAAAAAACAAAAACAGAAAGCAAACAGGAAATCATTCTCTTGCCAGTTTTGTTTGCAAGAGCATTCTTGTTTAGGGCAAATCATTACCACTGGTTGATTCTTCAGGCAGATCACTGACCTGCAGTTTCCTTATCTGTGAAATGGAAGTGACCAAAGAGCACCTGCTTGCAGGATTACATAAAGTCTATGGGGTGGTGGGCCAAGTGAATGTTTTCTAAAACATGACTCATTAACAATCTTAACCATTGTGCTATTTTAAGCACATAGCTCAGTTTCTGCCACACAGTAGGAGGTCCAAATTACTAATGTCTGTATCCCTTCTCTGCCTGCAGGGGGTTATAGTTCCCAGTGCTGGGACTGTATCGTTTGGGATCCATTCCACAGACTCATAGGGACTTAACAGACATTTAATTATCTCACAGAAGCTGAAAGCACCAGGATTGGTGCAGTAATTCAATGCAGGTATCAGGGACCCAAGGGGGCTCATTCTTTCCTCACTGCTATAGCTAAGCCTGCTGGCTTTTCAACGTTAGACTCGGGGCCTCGTGGTGGCAAAGTGGTTGCTGCAGTCCCAGCCAGTATATCCTTACCCATATTTAAGGAAGGAGAAAGGGGTAGCTCAGAAGGATCTCTTTACATGCCATTATTGTTTATTATGAAAGAAATAATTCCCAAAAGCCTCTAACAGACTTCCCCTTAAGTTGACACAGATCTGGGTCACATGCTCAGTAACAGGCCACTCACTGTCATGGAAGCTGGGATTAGCGTGACCAGCTGAGAATGAGCATGTGTCAAACATCCACAGGGACTTAGGGAGGAGGCTCACCTCCCCTGAGTCCCTTTCAGTTTTGTGGAGAAGGGAGGATGATTAAATGACTGTTTGTTAGGGGGACAGCCAACAGGGACCACAGTTTATAAACCTGCCTCCCTTCAATTGTCCAGAACGGCTGTGAGTACACAGTAGGGGTTTAGTGGGTTGCTGAGGTGTGGGAAGTCCCAGACACAGGGGCTCCTTCCTCGACCCTGGTTCCCAGTCCCCAACTGCTGTCCCCTCCCTGCTGCCCTCTCCCCACAGACTGCCTGGGCTCCCACTTCACCTGGCTGCAGGCTGTCTTCACCAACTTCCCCGCCCTGCTCCAGTTTGTGAGTGATCTGAAGTGTGTGACTGGTTTCTGCCCCCGGGACTTCGAGGACTATGGCTGTGCCTGCAGGTTTGAGATGGAGGGGCTGCCCGTGGATGGGTCTGACAGGTGAGCCACACCCACAGGTAAGCTGTAAGAGGCCTGGCTGGTACCTGGGCAGAGCATAGGTGTCGAAAGCTTTCAGGACATGTCTTGATTCTCCTTACCTGCGGGGTGACTGGTGGTCTCAGCTTCAAAGTGCAATGTACTTTGTGATCTTCTCATATCCTGGATGTGTCCGAGATGCAGAATTTCTGTGTAGGGTTTCTCCAGGTTGGGCTCTCCAGGGTCAGAACCACCTGGATGCTTGCTAAAAATGCAGATTCTAGGGATGCCCAAGTGGCTTGGTCAGTTAAGCATCTGCCTTTGACTCAGGTCATGATCCCAGAGTCCTGGGATTTAATCCTGCATGGGGGTTGGGGGGGTCCTTGCTTAGCAGGGACCCTGCTTCTCCCTCTGCCTGTGGTTCCCCTGCTGCACTCTCTCTTTGTCTCACTCTCCCTTTCTCTCTGGCAAATAAATAAACAAAATCTTTAAAATGCAGATTCTAGGGACACACCCCAGACCCACCGACTCAGACTACATCTAGCTAGACCCTGGAAGTCTGAATTTCAGACAAGCTCCCTGGTGACTCTTAAACATGACAGAATTGTTCTTTATTCAGACAGTCTTGCTCACCAGAGGTAAAGCAACCATGCAGGTTTCTGTTTAATTTTCCACAAACATGCACATAACATTTGAACATTGTGCTTAATATAAGCAGAATACTATCCCCACTATCCCCACTATCCCCACTATCCCCACTTTAAAAAGGTAAACACCTAGCAAGGAATACAGAGAAGATACAAGGGGTCAGTAAAGATGTGTGCCCTCAATATTCACAGGGAGGGGAAATTAACACAAGAGATCCACTTTCACACATCAGATTAGCAATAAAATTTAAAATCTGAGAAGCATCGAGTGTCAGCAAGGATCTGGCAAATAGATGCTGGCAGTGGGAAGGTCAGTTGGAAAAATTGGGTAGAATCTGTGTGTTACAGTGTGTTACCTACGACCCTGTAACTCCGGCTCTCTGCTCCTTACAGATGGGGTGACCCCTGGGCGAGTTACATCATTTCTTTGTGTTCCAGTTTCTTCCTCTGTAAAATGGAGGAATAAAACCATCTTCATAGAATTATTACTTAGGATTAAATGACCAAGTATACAGTACAGTGGCTGGGACTCTGCCTGGCTTACTGAGTTCACTTACTGAGAGTATTAGCGATTGGTAGCAACAATAACAGTAATAGTATGGCTATAGTAGGTCGTGGTGACACTGGTAGTAACAGTCATAGTAGTAGTCATAGTAGGACTGTAGTAGTAGTAGTAGTAGTAGTAGCAATAGCAGCAGTAACAGTTATCATAGTAGGTATAGTAGTATTAACTGTAGTGGTAATTGCAGTAATAGTAACACCAGCAGCAGTATTTGCAGCAATAGTAGAAATATTATTAATGCCGTAGAAGTAATAGTAGCAATAACAGCAGTAACAGTTATCATAGTAGCTGTAGTAGTATTAATAGTAATAGTAGTAGTGACGGTAGTAATAGCAACAGCAGCAGCAGTATTAGTGGCAGTTGTAGCAGTACTAGCAGAGCTGTAGTAGTGATAGTAATAGTAGTAATAACGGTAATTTCAGCCATAGTGGCAGCAGCAGCAGCAGTAGTAGGAAAGCAGGAATTTGAACTCATATCTCCCTGTACTCGGACCCATGGCCCTGCCTCACTGTTGTGATACCTATGCCCAAAGCCAGTGTGATGGAAGGTGTGCTCTCATAGAACTGGAAAGGATAGCCCATTGTCCTTTGCAATAGATTGGACAGTGCTTTATCTGCCCTGGAACTTTCCCTTTAGGATGCCCTCTCTGAACGCCTTGTACCCAAGGCACCAGGGCAACCTCCATGCTCCCCCAACACCTGTGCTTCCCTGTCCTGTACCTGCCACATAGGACAGTGCATGCACACGGTCTGTCTCCTGTTCCACCTAATGTCCTCTAAGGGGGGTTCTGCACCATGTTATTTCTTTGGACCCGCATCATGAACCATAGCATGGGGCATAGTAGGAACTCAGCAAATTGACTGACTGACTAGACAGTCAACCTCCAATTGCTTTTCAAGTTAATTAATTAATTGAATAAAAAGGGATATATCCTTGATTGCTCAGGGATAATGGGTTTGGAATCAGGCAATAGATCTCACCCATGTCCACATCTCCAAGAGAGGGTATAAGTTGCCTGTGGATCAAAACAGCATTTTTCCATGAGCCCGTTGGCCCCAGCTCGTTGACATTCAGAAAGAGAGAGGGTGATCTGAATGGAGCAGAGTGCCAGGACCATTTCTGGGAGTATATTTCCTTTCAGGTCCTCCCTTACCACTTTCTCTAATTATTAGAATACCTCTTCAACCTGGAAGTCAAAGAAATGAAGCAGTAATTCACTGTCTGCATGGTGAAAGTATCGATGGCCCCAAACTGGCAGAGTGATGAGCCACATCCAATTTCTATGACTTTTCACAGTTCAGTTGATGAGGTGCAGATTTCCAACAACCTGGAAGACTGGCCATTTCCACCTTGAACCAGATTCAAACAATAGTTGCTATCATTTACTGAGTGCCTGCCTCAGGGCAGGATCTATATAGATGTTTTCTTGAATCTCCCAAAATTCTCGAGTTAGGTATTTTGAGAAATTGAGTAGCTTGCCCAAGGCCATCACCAGCCTGTATATTGGTTCTTCTTTACATTGGTCTCCACTGACCTCCTGTGTGCCCTGCAAGAGCCTCCTGACTCCCATTTTAGTGTCAGCCTCACTCTGTGATGGACTTTGACCTTGGCAAGTTGCTGAGCCCTAAGAGTCTCTGTCTCCATGGGTGTAAATTCCCATAATGATAATAGAATCTGCTGTGTAGGTAATATAAGTCGAATAGTGTGTGTGTGTGTGTGCGTGTGTGTGTGCGTGCGTGCATGAGAGTGCTATTTGAAACAGGTCACTGCCAGGAATCATCCAGAGACACAACGATCACAGACTCCCGTCTCTTAACCCTCCCCCCGCTCTCACTTTGACCTCCCCTACCTGCCCCAGCTGCTGCTTCCAGCACCGCAGGTGCTATGAAGAGGCCGCTGAGATGGACTGTCTCCAAGACCCTGCCAAGCTCAGCACAGATGTCAACTGCGTCAGCAAGACGATCACATGTGGTGAGCATCTCCAGGTGTCCCTGGGAACTGGGCTGAGAAATGACAGCTCAGGAATCCCAGGCTTGGGCCAGACCCAGGGCTCCCAGGGTCCCCTCTCTTCATCACAGCCATTAAGGACATCATCACCTATACTCTGAGCCCCATGAGGGCTGGATCTGTGACATCTGTACCTTGCATGGAGTAGATGCACAATAAATGCTTTTTGAAATGAAAGAATAGTTGGTGGGCAGGTTATGTGATTTACAGTTTTATACTGCAGCAATCCTGGGAGCCTGGGGAGGCAGATGGTTTTCTGCTGATACATTGTGTGATATGGGAGCACTTACTCAACAAGTGAGAACCTCTACATGGGGAGGAGAAAACCTGCTTCAGAGATTTGTCATAAAAATTATACAATGCTTCAATGTAAAACTGCATTACACTTGTTAAATGGAAACAATGCTAAATGTAAAACAGTTAACACTGGGACTGGCCTATGTGAAGAAGTCAGTGTTGGGAGTGGAAGAGAGGCGAGGATGGATGAATTAGGTTTGTGGTTGCTGCTGTTTGTAAGAATCAGACATGTATTCAAAAAAATAAAGAATCAGACATGTATAGATGCAAATCTCAGCTCTCACCACCTTACTCACCATGTGATTCGAGGGATTTTATTTTGTGTCTCTGGGGAATCCTAGCAGAAGAATTAGAAGAGACAAAGGCACAGAGGAAAGAGGTAATGGCACCTTGGGCATGCTCTATGAGAGCCACCTTTATGAACACCTACTATGTGCCATAGTCTTTATACCCAGCACATGCGATCATCCCAACAATCTTATGAGATGGGGTCACTAGTCCCAGTTTTCAGATAAGGACAGGAAAACTCAAAGAAATTAAATAACTTGCCTAAAGGCACATAAGCTGCTAAGTGGTAAAGTCGGGGTTTGAGCCCAGGTTCAACTGACCCCAAAGTCCAGGTAGCAAGGACTGGCTGAAGTATGGCACATTGGGAAAGAGGGGAGGAGAGGCATGGGCATAGATCACTATCTGGTGAACATATAGTGGAAGTACCACCTACCCATCCCTCCAGCCAGCCAGCCAGCCACCAGCAGATACATACTGTGCAAGACAATTGTCTAGATATTGGGGAAATGCTGACCTTCTGAAACCTCCTCCCGGCTGCCAGACCCTGGAAATATCAAAGGGCTAGAGTATGTTAGACAGTGACAAGAGCCGTGGAGGGAAATAAACCAGGGGAAAGGTAGAGAGAGAGAGCTGGGTGGGGAAGCCTCCCTGAGCACATGCCCAGGGATAAAAGACTGAGGTGTGAGGCGGAAGCAAGCCTGTGGCCAGTAGGGAGGTACGTACACCCTTCGGCTCAAGGCACCCAGAATGCTTGGGCGACAGGACAGTCGGTCAGAAAGGGGGTGATGAGGTGGGAAAGAGAACAGGGACAGCAGCTTTTACATTGATTAGAAAGTCGTTGGAGGGTTTTGAAACCCCCAAAAGACATGGTTTGCCCTGAGTCTTGGAAGGCTCGTTCTGACTCCTCAAAGAGAGTGGACGGCAGCAGGGGGGCGGCCACTGACATAACCTGGGCATGAGCTGTAGTGGTGTGGAGGTGGAAAGCAGAGCCAATAGGATGGCCTGAAGTGTCGGGTGTGAGTGTGACGTAAGGAGTGGGCACCACTCCCAGACTGGGTCTACGCAGCCAAAGCTCACGGAGCCAAGCTGGATAACAGGACGACGCTTGCAGAAGGAGTGCAACCTCAGCAGGCAGATCAGGGTCAGTTTGGGAGCTTGCATTACCTCTTGGGATTCCAAATGAGATTTTCCAATCTGCTCTGCTCTGCCCTTGCCCTGTGCACAGAGTCTGGGGACCCTTGTGAGCACCTGCTGTGTGCCTGCAACAAGGCTGCCATAGAATGCTTGGCTCAGTCCCGGATCAACTCTTCCCTGAACCATCTGGACACTTCCTTCTGTGTGGCTCAGCCTCCAGGTGGGAAGAACCGGGCCCTGCATCAGCAGTGGGGCTGACGATCCGGGGCAGGGGCTGCTATGGGGGGTGTAGTTTCTGTGCACCTTCAGTCTGGCACCTTCTGACACCCCCAGACCCGCTGCTCTAAACAGGCTTTCCAATGTGTCTCTTTGCAGAGACAACCAGCACAGAAGAGCTGACGACACCTCTCCCCAGAGGTAAGGTCTTCTAGGGAAGCTGCTTTTACTTGCACCACAGCAGGGCCACTCTACAGAGGAAGCCGGTGGATACACCCCCCTCTGCAGGGCTTGTTGGCATGACCCACAGCACTGGCAATGTCTCTGCCTTTCCCTGGCCAAGGGGAGGCCATTAAGTCTGATAATCCCAGTTCACCCATCCAACAGCAAATGGGCCTCATGCAAACATTGTTCTTTGTTACATGAAGAGGTGTGCATTTAATCCAATGAAGAGATAGACCCCCATTCTTCCTCACTTGCTCTATGGTCAGAGCCCTGGTGTTCAGTGTGACCAGGACCAGGTCTAGTGCTCTGACAGAGAAAGCCCTCTCTCAGCTGATTGAGCTACTGGCCGCCAAGGCCACCTGGGAGCAGACCAGCTGTCTCCCTCCTCTGCCTTCCAGGACCTGTGACAGAGAGAGCAGCCTGGACCCCAATGGGGGGTTCCTTGAAGGAGAAGCTGTTTTCTGTGTGCCTCCTTCCCAGACAGGGTGGGCTTTAAATAGCTTCTACTGAAATAAGTGATCATTCCTACTCTAAGACAGGCATCTTATGGAAAATGTGAGAGTTCTTCTTCTGCCTGTCATTCCTGGTACACCAGTGTTAAAACTATCTCTCAATCCCAATGGAAAGTTCTAGGTGCATGTTGGCAGAGCACTCCTCCTTCCCTGGGGCTGGGGTCTCCTACCCAGTGCTGCAGCATGTGTTGAAGAAGCTGATATGATGAAAAAGAAGCCGATATGTGTGTGGGGGGATAGGGCACAGGTATGTGCTAGTGCAGGTGTGCATATGTGCGTGAGTAGGAGTGTGTGTACGTGTCCTACCTCTATGTGTCTTCTGAGTCTGGCACTCTTTATTCTGTGCTGTCTGCCTCCCTTTGGAACAGAGGTCTTCCTAAGTAGGGACGTCCTATTCCACAGCCACAAACCCTCAGGGTCTGCAGGCCTTTCACTGCCACAGCCTAGGTCTGCTAGTGTCACCTCCCTGGCCAGAACCCAGCTGGAGTCTCTCCTGAGCTGGGGCCCTGCTGGACACCTCACAACCCAGCAGATGCTTGAGGGGCAGGGAATCCCAAGACAGAACCAGCAGCCCTAGTCTGGCAGCACCTCTCATGGCCCCTTTCCTCCCTTGGTCCAGCAGTCCCAGCCTGTCCTTTGGGACTCGTGGTGCTTGATTGAGACACTGTGTTCCATCAGTCACTGATTTGGGAGCTTTCTTTTGCAGTGGTTCCTGTGGAGCTCACAGACACCAGTGCAAAGGCCCTTTCAGGAGAAGGTGAGCACAAGGGGACCAGTGTGTAACCCAAATACCCGCATTTTGATTGTATTATCGGCCTACTGGCTGGAATTAGCTTCCCTAAAATGCCCCCTGCCCAGCTTCTTATTGAAACTGCCCCGAGATCATTCCAGAGCCACCCTTAGCTCCTCCTGACCCCCAAATCTCTTCTCTACATGCTCTGCTTCCTCCCATACCCCTACTCCTACCTCAGGAGAATTGCCAGAGGCAAGACATTTATCCTCAACCATCTGAAGGTGATTTTCAGATGTACAACAAATACTTTTAGCATAAGTATGTCCCAAAAGTTGCATGGGATATACTTATACTAAAAGGCAATTAGTTGTTCATGTGAAATCTAAATTTAACCAGCCATCCTGTATTTTTATTTGCCAAGACTGGCAACCCTATGCCTCCAGGAGATCCCTCTGCACAACCACCTTCCCAGAAGTGTGTGTATTTCTCTCCTCTGCTGCTGCTTTGAGAACAGAAGCAGGGCTCATGGTGCAGCTTCTCCCTGGCTATCCTCCATGTCCAAGGGCATCGCATCCCCAACTATTCCCAGACAGCCTGTGCCTTGGACTCCATGAAAAAAAAAGAAAAAGAAATGGCACCTACGCAAGCCAAAGCTTCACCATATGCCCTGCCCGCACAGCAGCCATTCCCAAGCAGGATTCACAGTGGCCACTTCCATCCAAAATTGAGGACAAATCTGTCCCCCAACACACACGCACTCACACCCATGTCCTAGCAGTGCCCACAACGCTCTCCAGAAAAGGAGGCCGCCTCAAAGCAGGCACGAACATCAATTATGAAGGAAAAATAGGGCTCGTGATTGTTCTCACCATGGTGGAATGAAACAATTACGTTTTGGACTCAGGCAGCTTTGGGATGAAATCCTGCCTCTCCCATTTTTCAGCTGTAGGACTCTGGAAGCATGGATCAACCTCTCAAAGCTTCAGTTTCTTCATTTTGGACAGCAGGGATTGGCAATTATTTTTTTCTGTAATGGACCAGAAAGTAAGTATATTGGGTTTTGTGGACAGTCTCTGTCACAATGACCCAAGTTGCCATCACAGCAGGACAGCTACGACAATCTGTAATTGGGTGGGTGTGCCTGTGTTCAAAGGAAGCTTCATTTACAAAAACAGCCCAAGGGCTGGGCCATGGGGACCAACCCCTGGAAAGGGATGGGTCCTTCAGGGCAGCAGGGGCTTAAATGAGGGAAAACATGGGAAGACTCTGGAGCAGCATCTTCTTCAGAAATTCTGGCATGACAGTAAAACACAGCAATGCAGTCTTGAGTCACATCCAGGACACTGGACAACTTAGAATATGTGGTCTCATTTCTTGCTCCCACAACCCTGTGAAATCATTGCCATAACCTCCACACTGAGACGGTAAATGGAGCTGGAGAAAGAAAGCGTCCAAGACTGGGAGCTGGGTGGCAGGGCTAAGGTTCGAGGGCTCTGCCGTGTCTGTCTTTACCGCTAAGCTGAACTCCCTCTTCAGCTGTGCTCCTTTGTGGACCAGCTCTAGCAAAGGAACAGGATGGACCTTTCCCCCAGAGAGAGGTCTCATCACCCAAACATCGGCCTTATGCTAATCTGGCCCCTTGTCACTGAATCAGGACCAAAGTGTCAATCACTGCTCCTCATCAGACTGCCATGGGCTAACTCTCCTGGGGCCCCAGTCCCAAAGCTGTCTTGTTTGCAGGGGACCTCTGCCTGGCTTACGAGCTGAGCTGGGTGGATAACTGCAGTGGAGTGGTTTCCTTCCACAGTGGCTACTGGGACCAGTGCCGCCCACTGACCAGTTTCTCCAGAACAAGTAAGCAGGACAGACTGCACAGGAGCACAGCATGGAATCCAGTGGAGACATGCCTTCTCAATACACATGTTTAGCTCTGATGATCACTCTTTGACGGGGCTCCGAAGAAATACCAGGAGACCTACTTTTCAGATGATGGAGGACACTGAGGCTCTTGGAGGTTAAAATTTACAGATGGTCCAGCATGAGACCTGCTGGACTGGTCTCGAACCTCACCTCAGGCTGCAAGACTGGTTTTGTCTCCATGATACGGTAGTAACTCACAGGGAACAACCTTGTACCTGAAAACATCTAGGCCAGGATGTCATCAGAAGTGACCTAACCATTTACTTTGCTTATGGTGATGAATAACAATGGATTCTTTATTAATAAGCATAAATCACTCAAAATAACTTTTTACCAATTACTAAGAATGAAGAGATAAACAAGTGGACTCCTCGATTAAGAGGCAGGGACACCAAGGAGAACGTTGGTAGGCTGGTGTGTTTCTAAGCCCCTCCATATATCCTCTGAGTTCTCCCCCTGGCCCTAGGAGGCCCATATAACAGATGAAGGAGGCAGTCATTTGCCTGGGGGTAATACAGCATAGGATTCCGTTAGTAATGAACCTGCGCATTTTACTTTGAAGAGAACCATCTGCCTGGCTTAGAACCTTTGAGGTTCTATCTCTTTGCTGGAACATTTTTGTGTGTCCACATCATCAACCAATTGTAAGCCTGATTTCCACAGAACACCATTATAATCTTGATCTTTGACACATTGAATTTAAGGCAGTTCCTCCCTTCCCCGAGCCTGTTGGAGTTACCATTGCTAGCTCTCTGTGGTGTAGTCAGAAGAGAAATGGCACCCCAGCTCGGTGGTTAGGATGGTCAGGGGTTAGGATGGGTCACCTTACCCCTGGTTTGCATTCTGCCACTTCCTGGCTCCATGAACAAGTGACCTGTGTCTTCTGTGTGTCCCCTTTCTCAACTCTGAATAAGGGGTGAGCCTGGTGTTAACTCGTGGGGTTTTTGCTGAGTTGGTACAAGCCAAGTGCTTAATGCCATATCCAGCATATAGTATGTCTTCATCCGTTCCAGCTGCTACAACAAAATATCACACACTGTATCACCTGTGAACAACAGAATTTCTCTCTCGTGATTTCTAGATGCTGCAAGTCCAAACTTAAGACATAGATATGGTCAAGTTGGGCAAGGCCCACTTCCTGATTCATAGAGAGCCGCCATCTTGCTGTGTCCCATGGGGACTCTGTGGAGGCTCTTTCATAAGGACACAAATTCCATTCATGAAGCCTCCACCCTCATGACCCAATCATCCCCTAAAGGCCCCAAGACCACTGACGATTCGGTTTCAGCCAATGAATTTTGGGGAAACATAGACATTCAGTCTACAGCATTGTAGGAGCCTAATAACAGTTAACAGACTCATTTTACCAAGAACCAGGGCTCAGTAGTCTTTTGGGAGCCACAGAGCAAGGAACTAGAATCCACAATTCTATTGCCTTGTTTCTCTTTGTTCAAAAATATGTGATTAATTTTTTTGTTTGTTTAAACTCTAGAGATGTCTGCTTTCCTAAAGTATTTCAAAGATGCACCTGCTTCTAGCCCAGCAGGCTACAGCTGCCTTTTCCAGCATGTCTGTGTCTGGGGAGGGGAGTCTTTTTGTTTTAGCAGTGACCCTGACATCACCAAGCAACCCTGGGAGGTGACGAGGGGCAGAGCAATGTTGCCTCCTTGCCCAAAGGATGAGAACTGCTCCAGGACATAGGGGTGGAATAGGCTGGGGTCAACACTCACCCTGTCTCTTTTCTTTTGTGGGCAGAAGTGGGCCAAGACCAGGAAGGCACGGAAGCCACTAGGACCACATCCCCTCCAGGTAAGCACACTTGGCTTCTCCCACCAGCACACAATGGTTGTCCCTATATGTTTATGAGCTCGAGTGTGTTCTAAAACATGGAGGAATCATTGAGACAAATTTACTTTTATACCACCTCCCCCCCAAAGTAGACAAATGAAGTTAAAATGTAGATCCATGAGTAGGAAGAAATGGAAGCCTACCTGATAAAGAGATGCATTTAGAAAAATATGGAAAACAGTGTTTTGTTTTCTATTTAAATTACCTCTACTTCCATGTTACACAGCCACTTCTAATATCTGAAGGTGCTCCCTTCTAACGTCTCCTGCCTGCCAAGCATACCATGAATGTAATTCAAATGCACTAGAGATCACTTGGCACCATGGCTTTGTAGTCTGAACTGTATCACCTAAAAAATGAGATGATATTCCCCTGACATTAAATATCTTTCTATAACATGATTTTTAGTGGTGGCTGTACCATGGTTTCTGGTGTGGAATACCATAGAGCATGAGCCAGTTATTTCCAACATTTGTTCTTATAAATAGATATACGCTTTATACCCATCCACTTCTAATTTGTCACAATAAATGCCTAGAAGTTGAATTACTGCACAGAGGGCATAATCATTGCATGTATCCATGCAGTATGTATGTGTCCATATGTTGCCAAATTGCCCTAAAGAAACATTGAAACAACTTACCCTCATACCTCTCTCCCATGGCTGATACTGTGGACTACTATTTAAAAGCAAGTGAACAAAACCTCTACCACGTTAATAGAAAAAACCCATGGTAGCTCAATTCTCCTCTTCTCCTCTGATGGAAATTGAAAGTGGTGTTTTTTGTACCCAAGTTGGGTGGGCCTCTCACTCTGGGAGTTTTGGACCAGGCCTGGACAGAATTCCCACATCTTAACTGAATTTATGGTGACGGGTGACCAGTATCAGAGCTAAGAGCACTGAGACTTGGGCTAACTTTGCCCTCAGGTGCACAGTGACCTTCTCAGCCTTGGGGAATGAGGGCAAGAGGAATTTATTCCCCAATGGGGCGGCCATTCAGGCAGAGTGATGAATGCCGCATGCCCTCATCTAAGGGGATGAGGTAGGGGTCTCATGTTTGATTAGCACCAAGAATCCAGAGAGTTCTTTCTCAGAGGGTGAGGGCTTCTAGAAGGACACTCAGACTTGGCAAGGAGCACACACGAGCTTCTGGGGCTCCCTCTGCTTGTCGAGTTTTCCACCTGGAGAGTCTTTAACACCGAATCAGATGTGTCTTCACACTCACTGAACAATTCTAAGGGCTGTTCTTGACTTTTCCCTCCTTGCTAGGCATTTAGGTAGAAGGGTTATTCAAACACCAAAACAAGTATTATCAATATAGTTTTACAAAGGGGGAAATCAAGATTGAGAGAGGCAAGAGATCTGTCCAAGGTCACACAGTTAGTATGTGGCTGAGCTAAAATGCAAACTCAGATTGCCTTACCTCTAAAACGGAGTTCTTTCTACTCCACTCCACTGACTGGGTGAGTTCTCTCAAAAAGAAACAGAGCTGGCATTTGTTAATGGTGGAAAGTCAGATTTTACTCAGGTTTCCATAGCAGGGAAGGGAGGTTGTAGAGTAACCTCTTATCTGTATGGAGGTTACTGGGACTTTTAGAGGGAAAATGGGAGGGTGGACAACAGGCCAGAACTCCAGCAGAGTCAGGGCAGGGGAAAATTCCAAAAAGGGGGCAGGGGTCTGTTCTGAAAACTTAGGCAAGTCAGGTGTTGGGTCAGTGTGGGTCTCAAGCTCTAAGTTCTTTGGGCTGTCTTGAGCTTTCTTGGGCAGGAAGACAAGGGAAAGCAGGAGGCTGGGTCATCCTGGGGAAACCAGGCTGGGGTTGGTCTAAGTCTCCTAGCATAGGGGCAGGGCGTTGATGAAATAGTTTGTGCTGCGAATTTGCAGTTTTCATAGGCCAAGTTTGAGGCCTGGTTGAGAAGAGGGCCCAGAGGAGCCTGGCTAAAGTCTGGTCAAGGAAAGTGTCTGTCGGTTCCAGCAATCTGGTACATGGTGGAAAGAAAGCAATTCATGGGTTTCTGCTGGTGGGATTGGAGAGGAGGTGAGGCATGATGTTAGACCCAGAGGACTGAGAGAACAACAGAGCCACTAAAGCCTTGCTCCCACCCCCCAGGGAACAGAGCATTGAGCAAAGACTCAGAAGCCCAGATGTAAGAAGCAAACCAATATGGTGGGTCTGGGAGAGACTGCCAGTCAGGGGTCCCTGAGATGCCCAGGCTTCACCCTGTGCTCTGGGTCTGTAGATGGTGGAGCAGAGCTTACAAAGGCCCCTTTGGCTGGACCAAACAGGGTTGGAGGTGTCACTGCCTCTGGCCAAGAGAACAGGTGGGCCAACACAGAGCAAAGGGAAACCTGGACAGCACCAGGGAGCGATCCCCGGCAGCCTTACTGGCCTCAGCGAGGACCTGGCACTTAATTCAGACGATGGTGAGAAGGTCTTCCAGGATTCCCAGGAATTCGAGGCAGGTTGTGCTTGCCTACATCACTGAGCACCAGGAGTCAGCTTCATTTTTCCACCATTCTTATCTCTTCACTTGTAACCACCATGCTAGGCCTCCACTTGGCAGGTGCGTGATAGTAAATATGACATAGGCTGGGACAGGTCTGGTCGTGAGATGTCACTCAACTGGTCTAGCAGGGGCTCTTGCCCAATGTAACTTTATCATAGAGTATTCATGTATATGTGTTTGTTATATTTATGTTCCATCTACTTAATATTTTAGCACATTTTATTTATTTTTGTTTTAAATTTTTATTTAAATTCTAGTCAGTTAGCATATAGTGTAATATTGGTTTTGGGAGTAGAATTCAGTGACTCCCAGCCAGTGCTCATCACAAGTGCCCTCCTAGTATGCGTACCTCTTCTAGCCCAGCCCCCACCCACCCCTGTCCATCAATCCTCAGTTTTCTTCTCTATAGTGAAGTATCTCCTATGGTTTGCTTTCTTCTCTTTTCTTTTTCTTTCTTTTCCTTTCTTCTATGTTCATCTATTTTGGTTATTAAATTCCACATATGAGTGAAATTATATGGTATTTGTCCTTCTCTGACTTATTTTGCTTAGCATAATACCCTCTGGTTCCATCCACGTCATTACACATGGTAAGGTTTCATTCTTTTTCATGGCTGATTAATATTCTATTGTATATACACCACATCTTCTTTATCCATTCATCAGCTGATGGACATTTAGGCTCTTTCCCTAGTTTGGCTATCACTGATAATGCTGCTGTGAACATTGGGTTCAGATACCCCTTTGAATCTGTATTTTTGTATGCTTTGGATAAATACCTTGTAGTGTAATTTCTGGGTCATAGGGTAGTTCTATTTTTGACGTTTTGAGGACCCTCCACACTGTTTTCCAGAGTGGCTGCACCAGTATTCATTCCCACCAACAGTGGAAGAAGGTTCCCCTTTCTCTGAGTCCTCACCAACACCTGTGATTTCCTGACTTGATAACTTTAGCCATTCTGACTGGTGTGAGGTGGTATCTCACTGTGGTTTTGATTTGTATTTCCCTCATGATGAGTGATGTTGAGCATCTTTTCATGTGTCTGTTGGCCATCTGCATGTCTTCTTTGGGAAAATGTCTATTCATGTCTTCTGCCCATTTCTTAACTGGATTATTTGTTTTTTGAGTGTTGAGTTTGATAAGTTCTTTATAGATTTTGGGTACTAGCCTTTATTCTGATACGTCACTTGCGAATATCTTCTCTCATTCCATTGGCTACATTTTAGTTTTGTTGATTGTTTCCTTCTCTGTATCACAGAGTATTTGGAAATTCTCATGTAACATTTGTGGATCCCTGAGACTCTGCCCTCCCATCTGGAAGCCCAGATTGAGGATGCTTTCCTAACACTTTGTTCTTCTGAAATATCTGCATTTGGGCTTGAGTGTGTGTCCATCTGCAAATCTCTTCCCGAACTGCCTGTTGAATATAAGCCATGACGTTGTGTGTTTTCAGGATCTGCAGAGATTGCTGCCTCAACAAAAGGAGTAACCATGGTCCCGGCCGGTTTGAAGTCTTTGGGCTTAGCTGCGTCATCCACCAAAAGTGGCCTAGAGGAGACAACTGGAAAAGGTGAGTGGGAGCAGGCAGAGAAGCCTCTGTCCTCTCTCGGCCTTGAGATTCTCTGGATGGGTAGGTAACAAAGGCCTTTAGGCCATGGTGTCAAACTGTGACCTCTTCATTTTGGTGCGACTAGAAGGGACTAGAAGGGACCACTCCTTTCCCTCTTTCTGGCCCCCAAAGGAAGAGCTTGGCACCGTGCACAAGAAGCTGTTGGAAAGAAGGAAATATCTGGGCTTTCACTCCCTCTCCCTTCTCTCTCCTCTTGCCAGGGGCCCCACCAGAGGCCCTGCCCCTGCAAGGAGCTACAGACACAGGGGAGGGCTTTTTTAGTACCAGAGTGTGCTAACCTGCTGGACTCAAGACGTCCACAGGCCAGATGCCCCCGGGACGCCGGCTGCTGCGGGGCCTCAGTGGGACACAGTCACTCTATTCAGCAATCGCATGAGGCTGAGCACTTCTGGTCCCGATCAGCCCCCCACACTTCAGGGGGATTTAACCAGGAGTCTGGGCAGAGCCACAGATGCCTGGCAAGGAAGACACGCTCTCCGAAAGCCAAACCATGCCAGACAGGGTGTTAGACAGGGGGACTAACCCGCAGCAGTTTTCCCAGAAGAGCAATGGAGGCAAGGACACGGGGTTCCTCGGATGATCAGTACCCATCTGGATCATTGCCTGCCTGTGTGAACTCTGTCCCGATGTCCCCTCCTCTCCTGACAGCACTGTTTCTGATCAGCCTGTGACAGGTTCACCTTCCTGCACCTGGGAAGTAGGGACAACACACGGGTGATGCCTCAGCTTGGAGAGATGCTCTTTTGTCTGACATCCCGGTGCCCAGAAGAATTTGAATCTTATGGGTGTTACTGTGGGCAAGAAGGACGAGGCGAGCCAAGGGATACCCTGGACAGGTAGGGATGGGTGAGGGCGGCAGGCCAGGGGTGCTGACGCTGCCCGCATGAGAGGTGATAACCCTCCTCTCCACTGGGGACAGCTTCAGGCTTCACACCAAGCACTGCCTCCCGCGGGGCTGCTGCTCACGGTCATGGGCGGCTGAGGCTCAGGCTTGTCTGCACTCGTTCAGTGGCAAAGGGGCAGAGCCAGACAGATGCTGACCTGTGGATGTGGTGCTCCAGAGCTCCTTCAGCTCTAACCACAAGTACTGCCGATGGCCCTAAGAGAGTCCGTCTGCAAAGACCTTTCAGGAGACCCCAAATCTGCCTATTTTGCAACAACCAACATGTCGAATTGGCACACCCACCCAGTTTGCCCTGCAGGTGACCACATGAAAGTTACTTTCTCAATAACTTTTTTAAAAAAGATTTACTTATTTTTAGAGAGAGACCGAGAGACAGAAAGAGAGAGCGAGCAGTGGGAAGGGGTAGGAGGAGAGGGAGAGAGAGACTCCTAAGCAGAATCCGGGCTGAGTGCAGAGCCCAACAAGGGGGTTGATCTCAGGACCCTGAGGTCACAACCTGAGCCAAAACCAAGAGTTGGACACTTAACTGACCGAGCCCCCGCAATGCCCCAGCTTCTCAATAACTTTTAACTGCTCAATTTTATATCTGTCACTTTTGGAAGAATTTTCAGTGACCTCGTGCCTTGGTGAATCCATTCATTCATTTATGCACCCGCCCCACCACCCACCACCCACCCCAGGCAGGTGCACTCAACCCACCTTTCTTGAGCTTTTGCTCTGTGCTAGGCCCTATGCTGGGTGGTGGAGACACACAAATGAGGTTACACCTGAACAAAGCAGCATGCAACAAACTGCCAGTGCTCCAGAGGATCTGTGTGGTGCAGGAGACGGGCACGTCGACCAAAAGACCACCAAGATCATAAATGCAGCGGTCAAAACAGGGAACAGTGGAGGGGCCAACCTAGACATGAGTTGCAGGAATATTCCGCGGGTGGAGTTGATAGGTGTAAAGCCTGACTGCACGTGGGGACTGTCACGGCCCCTGGCCAGCGGGCTCTGCGCTCAAAATGCATATCCCTGGGATGGTGGGGCTGCTGAAGGAAAATCCACAGCTAGATACAGGAGACAGGGAAAAGACAAGGCCCGGTGCCATTAACACACAGGCCGGAGGGACGGCAGGACCATGGTGCATGTCACTTGCAGGTCAGATGGTGTCTGGTTGGCTATGTCTCTCCCCCAGACACCCACCTCCCTGGCCTTTCTCCCCTTGCCACTCACCGCCTTCCAGCCCTACCATCTGACCAAGTTCCACAGGGCATCCAGTAGAGAGGAAGCTAGGGGCTCTGCTACACAGGCCACCTTCAAAACTTAGCTCCCGCTGGGTGACACTGAAGATGCATCTATTTTAGCAGAGTGTACACCACACTGGAATCATAAGTGTGTCTACATTAGAAGTTCGACAATGTGGGCTCCACTCTCGGAACAGTGTAGATACTCCTGAGGCCATAGCACTCAGGACACAAGGCAAGAGGTAAAACTCTAGGCAGAAGTCACTGTGTGCTGTTGAACTCCACGGAAAGACAGTGGGGTTGATCCTGACCACTGGCCATATTTCACAAAAACATGAGATTTGACCAGCAGGCAATTAAGTTACAATATGGCTTCCCTGACCTCCACGGGGAAAAAATTAAAACAAAGCCATTGCCATGACCAAGGAAGAGTTACTCAAATTGATCTCATTTTCTACAGGGATGTCTTTTCAAAACCATGCATACTTTACATTCTGGGCAATTTGGGTGACTTTTAAGGGTCTTTTGATGATATGTGATTTCTGATTCACTTGCTGACTTCACATTTTCACTGAGATTAACTTTTCACCACCACCCACCCCAGGCAGGTGCACGCACCAGAATGTGTGGTTCAGCTGAGCAGGGCGGCCATGTGTAACTGACGCAGACCTCCAGCCATCGGCCACTGTGGCAGGCACAGTCGTGGGGCTCCCCCCAACACTGGCAACAGGGGAAGCCGATTCTTGGCTGAGCACTAACTCTACAAAAGGGCAGCCGGTCATGGTGGAGCCCTGCTCTGGCTGTGGCCTCTGACACCACGTGAGAGCGATCTGTGGATGGGATGCGTGGCAGTGGGAAGGTTTGGGGACAGTGGCGGCTCCTCTGGGCTGACGCCGTCACAAGATTCCTCTGGGTATCTATGGGCTGGGCACAGTGGAGACGGTGAGGCTTTATTAGGCCCAGATGGGGGTTGTCTATAAAGGAAGACACTGATTCGTTCCTGTATGGCTACGGAGGCCCTGCTTCATGCTGGATGCTTTCTTAGATGTTGTTCTTTATTTATGCTCAAGGTCATTACTCTGCTCTCTCTCAAGGCTAGGGTCCAAAGGGGGTGCCCTATGGATGTGAGATTAATCGTTCTATTAGGTAACAGGTTAGAGGGGGCAGGGCCACTGCTAGTCCATCTGCTACCTTCGTGTAAACTAAAAATGGTAACCTTTTCTCAAGGCTCTTTTTTCCATCTCAACAGATGCAAATTATTATCATAAATATGCAAATCATCTTTGCAATCAACAGAGTCATAATAAGAACACAAAGACTTTTTTTAATGGTAGGATGCATACAGTGTGACTGACACGGTTTTAGATGTGGTATCTTTGTGAAGTGCACAACCTAAACAATCATACATGGTGGTCCCGTGTGTGCCGGAACAGAGGCCTTGGCTTCTCTCCCTGCTGTAGGGTTTGTGGGAGAGGCAGGCCTTGAAGGAGTTCCTGCGTCAGCTGGGTTTTCCTTGGTCTTAGGTGCTGTTTTTCCCATCACTGCTGTGTGGAGCAGGTGAGGCGGCTGGGCTGCCTGCTCGGGAGGCTTCCTCGGTCACCAGTGCTGTGCGTGGACGGTACAGCCACGTGTAAGTGGGGGGGCCTGCTCAGAATCACAGGGGGTTCAGGCCTCCCGGTGCTGCCCCAACCACGTCTTCGTCTACAATGAGATTTAATACTCTTCTTAACCGCGACGCACACTTATTACCGATCCTGCCGAGGGCGCGGAAGTCCGAGAGCTAAGTCAGCGGCCAAGTCAGAGCTGGGCAGGAGCAGACCAGGAGCAAGAGAAACTGTGCTTATGGCGCGCCTGCCGCGTGCCCGCCGCAGCTCTCAAGATGGATGAACAGAGTCAGACCCCAGGGATCCTACGAGGAGGCACCGAGTCCTCCCTTTACAGAGGTGGCGGCAGAGGTCGCACTGTAGAAAGAAGTGGGTGGTGGGAGCAGGAGTGGGGCCTGGAAAACCACGTTGCCTCAGACCTTGAACCCAGTCCTTGCGCCGGGGGCTCTCATGGCATTTTGTTCTCTCCCTGAGAAGTGGAAGCCCTGTCCTGAGACCGCCCAAGGAGCTCCACGGAAAGGGAGTGGACCTGGCTGAAGGCAGTGGACCCGCAGCCTCCGTCCGCCCTCTCCTGGAGCCTCAGCGGGGTGTCTGAGAACCAGCACCCCTGGGAGCGAGCGTCAAGCTCATGCACCCCGGGGCCAGCTTTCCATGTCCAGCCCGCGGAGGCAGTTCCTCTAGGCTTTGCAGCTTAAAGTCCCTGCTCCCTGGAGCAAGTCGTGAGAGTCCTGTGAGGGCTTGTTCCCACCCTTGTGTTTCCTCCACGGAGGCCCCTCCCTTCCTCTACCCTCCCTCAGCATCGGCGGGCACCTCCCTGCCTCCTGGAGGTCCACATGCACCTGTCAGGTCCAGGAGCCCCGTGCTCACGTGTCACTCATGGCTCCTGCACTCACTCACTCGTTATCTATCCCACGCACCTCTCTTGGGAACTAGGAAGGCACTGATCAGACACAATCCGACTCAAGTGCCCCACAGCCCGGAGGACAGACAGATGCGCAGGTGTCTGCTCTCATCCCGGGTGGAAGTGCTCACGAGAGTGCAGGTGCCCTGGGAGCCGCAGAGGGGGTCTGAGCCGGGAGAGCAGGGCACAGGGTGCTGAAGAACTGAGCAGTCGGAAGAGGTGGCGAGGAGGGATCTTACAAGACATTGTCAGGTTCTCAGATGGCCACACTGGGTGTGGATGTTCCCGGAGAAGGGAAAAGAGGAAAACCAGGGCATTTGCGAGAACTTCTGGCAGTGTAGGAACAGAAAGGGGCACTGGGGGACGGCTGTGGCCAGGTGAGGTAGGGAGCTAGACAGACACCAGATGATCACCTGAGGTTTGAACTGTTGGGGCATGAGGAGCTGGGACGGGTATAGAGCCACAAGTGACAGGATCAGATTATTGTCATCATTGGATGTCACCATGCCGTGGGATCTCACCTGCTCAGCTGAAGGAGGCTCTTTCACTATCCCTGCAGCCTCAAGGAAGCCAGAAGCATGGCCCTGGGGGTCTGAACTCCGATGGGGCTCCAGGGACCCAGGTCAGCCCTCCGTGAGCTCAGACCAGTGTCCTTCACCACACGCGGTGCTGGGTCATGAGAACAGGGCAAAGCCTGCCCTGTGCTGTCTCGACATGAGGCCCAGAACTGCTCGGGGGAGCAGGCTCTCGTGTGTCTCCACTCTGCTCTTGGCCCCACGTTTGCCCACCCCTTCTTTAGCTTCCTTGTGTTGGAAGGCAACAGTGTAGGAATTTAGAGGGTCTGTGTGCTGAGAAAAAAAATAAAATCTGGCTGATATTTTACTTCATGGTAGGTTCAGATGGAAAAAAGTTGGAACAAATACTTCTCTAGCTTCATAGAAAACTACAGGTAAGAAAAGTATTTGCAGGAGGCATATCTAAGTACCTTCAACACATTACTTATCTGAGTCAGATGACATCCATCCCCGCCCCCAATGCAGGCAACATAAACATTCAAGAAATCAGGTAGGGTTGCCAGCAAATAAAAACACACTAACTAGAATTTCAGATAAACAACAAGTAATTAATTGTTCAGTATAAGTATGTCCCAAATGGATATACTTACATGAACATATTTATCTGAAATTCACATTTAATCAGGCATCCCATATTTTATCTGGCAAGGTTAAAATAGATTGCACAAGAACTTCCATACGACAAAAGGGAAAGGTCTGGCCCGGAGAAGTAAGGAAGTAAGATATTTAACAGTTCTGTCCAACAAACAGTTCTGTCCAACAAATATTTTCCGAGTGCCAACTCGGGAAACAGGGGTCAAGGACTGACTTAGGTGCTTGGAACACATGGGCTCTGCCACCAAGGCTCTCCATCCAGCGAGAGCGAAAGGTAAACACAGACACAGATGATTCATGCACAGTGTCATTAACATGCAACCTGCTGGAGAGAAGGAGCCATGGGTGGGATCTGATGGGAGCCCAAGAGGAAGGTAGTCCCCTTACCCTGGGGGCTCAGGGAAGCTTTTCTGGAGGAGGGGATGCCAAGGGGAGTTTTGACAAACAGGTATGAATTCACCAGGAGAAAGTGAGAATATTCCCAGCAGGGAGATCATAGACGCTGAATGTTGTGAGGTTCCCAGATGGTGGGTGGAAGGACAAGGCTGAAGGGGTAGTCGGGCTGGCCACATGCCGCCTTGCATTACATGTCTGCTACTCTGTTCTTGTCCTCTAAGGTGTGGGGCAGAGCCTGTGTGCAAAACTGCTTTGTGCCTGTGACCAGACGGCGGCCGAATGCATGGCCTCTGCCTCCTTTAACCAAAGCCTGAAGTCACTGGGCGCACAAGAGTGCCAGGGGCCCCAGCTGTCCTGCGAGGATGGCATGCCTGGGGCGCCTGCGGCTTCCTCCCTTGGTTCCAGCTCCGAGGAGAACAGCGAGGAGGCCACGCCCCGCACAGAGGGCCTGAGAAGAACCAGAAGATTTCTGGGAAAATCACTTGGTCCTGTGGGGACCAGGCGACAAGGCCCCAGAGAGATCCCTGGAGAAAGTAACAAGCGCCCCCCACAGTAGGTTCCTCCCATTACTGTCCCCTCTTTGCACCTCTGTCTCTGTCCTCCCGTCCTCAGCAGGGGCTCAAGGGTTGAAGAGCCGGCGCGCCCTGTGCATTGTGACACTTGTGAGCTCACACAGGAACGTGTTCTGTACTTCCTTCGGTGCACACTGGGGGCTAAATAAAAACTCCAATCAGTGTTGGCTTTGGTTTGTTTTGAAGAAATGCTATAGAGACTGGTGTATGAGTAGATGCCGGATGTAAGATGACAGAGCCATGGAGCCAAATTATCTCCACTCTCTCATCACTGAAAGCGATCTCTTCTTCTATTGGGGGAAAAAATAAAGGAATGTATTTAATCAATCTTATAAGCTCACTAGTGGGACACCAATAACCCAAGGATATGTGCCAGGGACTAACGACAGCTCTGGTATGTGCCTCTAAAAACACACCTGCCATTTGAGTTATTCCAAGAGGCAGATTAATATCATGGTAATTGTAAAAAGCCTGAAATCATACCCATCCTTCCATCCACCCACTCACCGACCCATTAGAGATGCTCCTGTGTCATCAGGCAGAATGTAGTGTGTTACCAGACACTCTCTCCGTATTCGATAGGAACACAAACTCGTAGGCTCACATCACATCCTTGGCTTCAATCCCTACAAATCACAGGTCTGGTAGTGAGAGGGGCAAGGGTCCCTGCCTGCTCCTCAGACTGATGGGAAAGCAGAGCCGCTAGAGTTCGGTGTGGCTGACCTTGCGGCAGGAAGATATTCTGAAGTTGGCAACAAAGTTAAGAAATTAAAAAGGTGCTGATGCCAAGCCAACAGGAGACATCCTTCCTTGCTTTCCAGCATGTGATGAGCAACTTTTTCCTTTGAAGACATTTTATTTATCTGAGAGAGAGCAAGCAAGCAGGGGAGAGGGAGAGGGAGAAACGGACTCCCCACTGAGAAGGAAACCTGATGCGGGGCTCCCTCCCAGGACCCTGGGACCATGACCTGAGCCAAGGCAGATGTTTAACCCACTGAGCCACCCAGCGCCCCATGATGAGCACCTTTTGATGAATCCAACACATTCGTACCTTTTTGACCAAGTGACCTTAACTAACAGCCAAAGCTGTGTTCTCCCAGAAGTGAACCCTCTGACATGAACTCGAGAGCAAGATTAGTAGCCAAGTGAGGGAAAGAATGTGTGGAGACTGAAGAAATAGGGCAGGAAAGGTAGCCAGTAAAGGGTGTCTAACCAAGCCAGTTACAACTAGAATACACTACACACTGAGAGGAGACTGATGGGGCTATCAGCTTCTGACAGATCAGCCTTTACTCCTGGAGAGGGTGACATCTCCTTCTGGCCTGCTGCACACAGGGGCAAAGCAGGCTCCAGGGCAGAGAAAGCCTTCAGGCAAAGAAATGCCGGTGCCAGCGGCCGGCTGTCAGTGGCAGAAGGGGAATTGGCTTCGACTCCTGCATGGCTGGCTGGCTCCTCCTACCTTCAGCCGGAAGCGAGGTCCCAAGAGTCCATTCCCAGTGCCAGGCTGGCCACCTGTGGGGTAACCGTGCCTTCGCCACATCTTCGCCGGTGGCAGCTGGATGTTGCTCAAGAGAGTAACAGAGCTGACCTACTTAGCTCTGGTTCCCAACCAGAAAACCTCCTGTGGACGACCAACCTCTTCTTCAGGTGTTTTTCTGCTCTCCAAGACCGCTGCTGGTGCTTCATCTCCTCTCCTCCAAGCCCCCGTACCCCACAACCTTGTACTCAGCTCGAGACTCTGTAGGACTGTGAAGAGTCTGAGATTTCACCTTCCTTTCAACTAGTAAATTCAACTTTGTTTATGGATGCTGGCAGAGCACACGAGGCACCCCCAGGTCAGAGACAAAGGCTTTATTGTCTACAGTAAAGGCAGTAGTCAGAGTCTCCGTATTTCTGCTGGTCCCTCAAGCTCTGGGGCACCACAGAGAGCAAAGTGACACCTCCACACAAGGTGGGCTTCCTTACCCAGGAGAACCAAGTTTAGGGATCCGAAACTACACACTGGCTATTAGCCTGCTTGACTGTTAACCCCAGAACATTTTTTTTAAGCAGGCTCCACAACACAGGGCTTGAACCAACAACCCTGAGATCCAAGACCTGGCCACTTAACACTTAACTGAGCCACCCAGGCACCCCAAAACACATCATCTTTATACGTAAGACTTTATATGACTCTACAAAGTGTTACCTGATCAACTTACTTTATAAGACTCTACACCCCATACTTTATACGTAAGTAAGGTCTGCCCCTGGCTCCAAAGGGTGACACCATTCCTACTTTCCTAGAGTCAAATCTGTTTGCTAGAATACATTAAGATAGTCCAGAATGGAGGCTGTTGGTGTCTGCATGCTCACATGACATGCACAGATCCATGGAGAATTGTCTGGCAATAATGGTCTCAGCTAACATTTCACTGAGAAAACTGAAGGTTTCCAATGGGAATGCCCTCCTCTTTCCGGCTGCCAAAGCTACAAAATTACTGGCAGTCTCTCTTCCTTCTTGTTACAATTAAGTGTTCTCGACTCAGATCAAAAGTTAATCCCTTCAACTACGCTGTGTATAATGAGTGTTCTATTGCCTTCTCTGGATTGATTCCTGTAAATATTTCCTTTTCTTTAGTGAGCGAGAAAAGCGTGCACATGGTGGTGGAGTGCCGGCGGCGGGCTGGGGGGGTGTGGGAGGGAATGGAGGGAAGAGAAGGAGAGGGAGAATCTTAAGCAGACTCCACGCCAGCTGGGGGCTTGATCTCATGACCTGAGTCGAAATCAAGAGTCAACCCTTAACTGATGGAGCCACCCAGGCCCAGTATTCCCTTTTTTAACCAAGTTATTCCGCTTCTTCTGTATCAGTCTAATCAGCATGCAAACATACCCAAAAATCTCCAATCTTTAAAAATCCTTGACTCCTTTAGCAAGATGAGGGAAGCGTGGAATTGTCAATCTGATGCTCCTAGCTTTGGTCTCCTCCTTAAATGCCAAACTAGATGGTGCTCTGCTGGGTACTGATGACCTGACTCGATGTCATCCAATGTCTACCTCTTACTCCACACGCTGCTGTGCTAACCAGCCACACGGGCTCTGACCTGCCTTGTTCACAGAGGTGGGAATTAACAACGCCTGCCTTCCGAACTTCTGTTCTTCTTGCGTTCTGACACAGGACTTCTCTGAGAAGGAAGCATGGGGCACTCAGCGCTCAAGCACACACAATCCAGAAATGGGGGGGAGGGGTTGCTGCCAACAGGCCACCCTTGACCATGAAAGGGTACATGCTTCCCCGGAGTTCATCACCAGGGCGGCCAGATCAGAGTTCACAAACCTCCTTATTAGAAACATCCAGCAGGGGGCGCCTGAGTGGCTCAGTGGGTTAAGCCTCTGCCTTTGGCCCAGGTCAAGGTCTCAGGGCCCTGGAATCAGCCCTGCATCAGGCTCTCTGCTCAGCGGGGAGCCTGCTTCCCTGTCTCTCTGCCTGCCTCTCAGCCTACTTATAATCTCTATCTCTCTGTAAAATAAATAAGATCTTTAAAAGAAAAAAAAAAGAAACATCCAGCAGGACGGACCTCCAGTCACCTCCAGTGATGGACAGTTCCTACATAAGTCCTCTTCATGAGCCTTTTCTCCTTGCATTTCACAGTTCCAGGCCCTGGCCGGGTTTGCTGGGATCACAGCCCAGAACAATCCCCATGTATAAGCCTTTCAGTGCAAGTTCTCCTAAAGCAGAGACTGTGGCTCAAAGTGCAAGTAAAAGTCAAATTCTACAGGAGGAGGAGGAGACGGCACCTGATGCTCTACCTTGGCTCTACTTTTTCATTCATATGAACTTGGTGCTTGAAATCGGTACTTCTCAGAACAGCGGATGGGATGCGACAAATTAAGGCTGGAGACAGCATGGGACACAGCACATAATGCAGGTTGCTGCTTCTACACCGCAGCTTCCTGGAGGTGGGATAAGCAAGCCAGGGTGGCCCAGGGAACCAGAGTCGTTATTTTTTTACTTAGAGGCTTTGTGTACATTATACAGGTAGAGAGGATTGAGATGCAAACATTAAAACTGATGCAGAGAAGGCCACTGTGCTTTCCCAGCTCACACTGCTGTAAGTAGTGAAAAGAAAGCTCTGCCTGCACCACATCTTGTCATGACCGGCAGTTACGGCCCCGAGTCTTCCGTGGATGTGCGGATGCAGCCACCTGGCAACTTGAGTTTTACTAAAGCTCTTCATTTTTAACTAAAGCCAAATATTAAATAAACTTAATTCAGTAAATGTCATAGCTATATGCATATCTGCATATCTGCATGTAGCATATATAGCATATCTGCATGGCCAGAAGTAATCTGATTTTGTTTTATTGCTTACATATGACTGCACAGTGTATCTTCACATTTCAAAAACTCACCTTGTTAGATTTATTGCATATATTGGCATGACTAAGACAAAGGAGTTCCATTTTCAGATAGGAGGAAGAGAAATGTTAATTGCTGGTAAAGTGTGGCATTACTCTATAAGATAATGAGTTCAGAAGCATTAGGGGGTGTCTGTGTTCTGTGCACATGCAGGTAAACGCCAATGACAATCAAATTCTGTATAAACAGTCGAAGTCAATACAAATATAAGGAAAGTTCATATGTTAGCTATTCAATGTCAAGGAAAAAAATGAAGCAAGTGTATGCAGCATAAAGAGAATGAGTAACAGTTTATTAAGAGTTTTAAATATCTACAAAAATATAGCCATACGGTGAACTTCAGCAAATCCTAAACTTTCAGTCTCCAAACTGGCTATAAACGGAACACAGCCATTGCCCAGCAGGAGTCCTGCAATCTCCTGAAAAGGACAAACCAAAGAAAAGACCCACTTCTTGGGAATCATTGCTAACAAGACCAGTTCAGTCATCCAGGATATATCGATGTCTACTGTGGTTTAAAAACAACAACAACAACAAGAAAAAACCTGCAAACCCCACACAACAGTTTACAAATAGACCAAGAGAAAGATGTGATAAACATTAATTCCAACGGTTTTCCTTTACATGCAATACATGCATTTTTTAAACTACAGAAAAACATGAAATTTTGTAAAGTTTGTTTGCATGAGTGCAAGTGAA